TGTTGGCCAGGGCAGGGCTGCTGTATAGACTAAGACCCATTATACCGTTGACTTTGACTGGGGGCCGCTAGTTTAGACTTTCTCAAAATCACCTTTTTTTCTCTGGATCCTGAGTCGACTAAAAAGCAAAAGCAACCGGAGAAAGGACAAGCTTCCCCTCAGAAAAGAACGAGAATAAGGGAAATAACGGCCGTTGAGAAAAGAAGAGACCAAAGAATGCGGGTGGAAGACAGCCCGATGTCCCGTCCGTCTCCGGCTTTGGCCGATGTCTACGGAGGAGCTGTCAAACAGATGAGACTCAGGACTAGTCTATGGGGTTCAGAAGAGCACAGAGCAGCTAATTTGAGCCCGGACGTAAGAATAAGTTAGTTATTACGGAGAGAATCGACAACGTTTGAAAGGCGGCGGGAGCTAGGAGTGGTCGGTGCGGATCTTTCTGAGGAGCCCAAGCTTACGGGCTGAAGGTGTTTTATGTTTCCTACTTACGAAGCTCTGACTTGGTAAATGCATTCTGCATTGATGAGATCGGAATCACAGACCATTCGGAATGCTCGGGGCCTCCTTTGCTCTGTCTCCGTCTCTCTGACGTCTTCGGAAACGAATATGGAGAAGTAGATAGACGGCATTGACCGGACTGTTTATTAAGTTAGGCTGTTGTGTAGTACCTACAGGCTACAGCTACACATGCCTAACTATGGCATTATTCGCATGGTTCCGGGTTCTTCTCATGTCAGGCACAGGCACAGGCACAGCACACGAGATTAGTCCCGTAATCGAACAATTCCGAATGTCTTCTGGAAGCATTCACAGATCAAGTTCCAGTTCTGTGCCTCGGTCGAACCAACACACAATCTCAACTCCGAATTCCATTGCCTATCATTGTGGCACAATTGACACGCCGCTTCTGGTCAAAACGCTGGCGATCCCTCTACTCACAAGCTTTACTACGTACACGCGGTTTTCAGCTGCAATACAACCTCGGTCTGCAGTCACAGTATGTAACTATGGCAATCTCAAGGTTTGGAAAGGATTCCCATGACGCAGACCTCAACGGTCGCGTGAGAAGTGGACTCTTGTCAATGGGAGATATCTGACCTAGACCTAGCATTTTCGCGTAGGGGAGGATTGAGATTACACAACCTGTGAACGAGATACCCTTGATTCGTTAACTGAAGGTGTCTTGATCAGCCAACTGTCAGCTTTCTTTGGTGTGTCGTTGTTGGGGTTCAGCTCAATCCTCTGCCGGCCGGTGATGATACAAATCAAACCACCTGCCACACACAATGGCTCTCTATTGTCGCGCCACGGCCAGACACAGAGTTTACGGTGGCTGTCAAGACCCGAGCCCAGGTACCGAACCCGAACTTGGGGTGAGGTAACCTCGAAACTAGTGCCGACAGGGGGTGCAAGGGTTTTTTTGGTGGTGAGGTGAGGCCATGCTATTCCCGAGAGCAACAGCTTCGACGAGGTTTATTGCTCTTACTTGTTTTAGACTGGCTAGTTGTGCACAGCGTTTAAAGACTCGTTCTATCTCGGAACTTCTCGTCCTTGAAGTCCAATACTCGCTGTATACTTCGCCTTTCGTGCATGACCTGTCGTTTTTGAGTGTCACCCATAAACTTGCAACGTCTCGAGAGTCTAAGACAGGCTGTGGAAAGCCAACAAGTTACATGTCGTTTGTTTGCCTGAACAATGTTTGCTTCTCGTCTCTTGTGATTTGCCGGTGTTACAAAGCAGTTGTCTAGAATAGCGCCTCCAAGTTCTGGACCCTCGCTTCCGGTTGGTCACATCTGACGCTCCATTCCTCAAACATGTGGTTGCCATGCGTTGAGTTGCATTCAGGTTGTTGTTTCGCGTGGCTAACGCATGGCTTGAGACTTCTGGGGATTGGGGATTGTATGGACGGCAGAAATCCCCGTCGATGATATACTTGCCTAGCTACTGTAACTCAGCTGTAGATCCCCACAGAGTTTCGAGATCAAGAGCTACTGGAAGGGAACTAAGTTAGTTAGTGATGGACGTTGTTTATGTTGCTTTAGAGGTGAAACTTGAGTCAAGCTGGTCTTGTATGGCTTGTGCTCTGACTTGAGTACCTTGCTTTAGAAACTAACTGATAATTAATTGCCTTTACCACACGCCATATCCGTCAAGCCCCAAGCTATCAAAGTCAAGCCAAGTCAAAGTTGACGAAAAAGAGAGTTTTCTTGTGATTTGGTTACCGAATCTAGAATCTAGATCAGCCTCGTTTCTCACCTGTTTCTGTCCTCCCTCGGACCATAATTCATAACTAGCCAAGACTTCCCTAAAAGATTCATTCTCACTGTAACTAGGTACCCTTCAGTGGAAGCCGCCGGGCCACTCCCAAAAGCAAGGAGAGCCTGGAGCTTAGGTACAGGGCCTGACCCCACTAACAGGAAAACCTCCACCCACCTAAAGGGAACTAACAATGGATCCCAGCTGTTCTATCGTACGACTTCCTGAGCTTGGATTTCCCAACATCCATCCACTTCGCTTTTACTTTTCGCCCTCACTTAGATACACCCTCTATCGCCTGGGGGTAAGGTACTGCCACGAGGAATAGACGGCTTGTGGAGAAGCTCGAGTTTTCTTTCTTTTCTTTTTCTCTGCCTACCTTACCTATGACCATGGCTATAATCTCTGTTTGTGGGTGTATCACCCCGTCCGTCCACTCTAATTCAACTGGGGGCGTGTGATAGCTCAATATCCATGCCATACCATGCCATGCCCTTGCTGTGTGTGTCATGGCCATGAGCCATGAGGAGGAGGAGAAGGAAGAGGAGGAAGAGGATATAATATCTGGGGACGACTCCCCTCTCAGATTCATCTCTCGACTGACGAACTCTGCTTCATTACAACATCTCATTCCTTTACTCATCTGCTATTCTACCAATCTCGACACACACATACAGCAGTTACACGAAGCATTGTCGGTATTTCTCAAGACTCTGTCTATTCCATACCCAACCTCAGCCTTCTTAGAGGTGTCTTTGCTACTACCTCTACCTCACACTCTTCACAATGGCTCTGTCATATCAACAAACCAGGCTCATCCGGGGTACCATCCCCGCCCTGACCGACCACGGAGAGCGCATCACCACTATCTTCTACCGCAACATGCTCCGTGATCACCCCGAGCTCAACGACTACTTCAACACCGTCAACCAGGCCAACGGTCGCCAGCCTCGTGCCCTCACCGCCGTCATCCTCAGCTACGCCAACAACATCAACCACATCACAGAGCTCATCCCCAAGATGGAACGCATGTGCCACAAGCACTGCTCCTTGGGCATCAAGCCAGAGCATTATGGTATCGTCGAGAAGTATCTCATCGCTGCCTTCGCTGAAGTCCTCGGTCCTGCCATGACACCACAGGTCAGAGAGGCTTGGCAGAAGGCCTACTGGATGCTTGCCAAGATGCTCATCGGTCGCGAGGCTCAGCTCTATCGTGACTTTGGCAAGTGGCAGGGCTACCGCAAGTTCCGCATCGAGAAGAAGGTTGAGGAGTCTGATGACATCTACTCCTTCTACCTCGTTCCTGTCGACGGCAAGCGTCTTCCTCCCTTCCAGCCCGGCCAGTATGTCTCTGTTCAGGTACCCATTGCCGACAAGGGCTACGTCCAGTCTCGTCAATACTCCTTGAGCGAGGCTCCTCGACCTGACTACTACCGCGTCACCGTCAAGCGAGACGAAGGACTTCACATGACCCGCAGCGGTCGATATCTCGGCGGCGATGCCCTCAACCCCGGTGTTGTCTCCAACCTCCTTATCGACATGAAGGACGAGGGCGATATCGTTGAGTTGACTCACCCCGCTGGCGAGTTCTACCTCGACATGTCCAACACTTCCAACGTTCCTATCGTTCTCATCTCGGCCGGTGTCGGTGTCACTCCCATGATGTCCATCCTGAACACCGTCTCCGAGCGCCAGCCTCACCGTCCTGTCTCCTGGATCCACGGCTCTCGCCGCTCCGTCCCCTTTTACGACCAAGTCCGACGCATCGCCCGCAACCGCCCCAGCTTCCGCACCAACATCTTCAAGACCCATCTCGCCGAGTCCGACGTCTACGGTATCACCTACGACCACGACTTCCGCATGGATCTTGCCAAGGTCGACAAGGAAGACCTCTACCTTTGCAACAGCTCTACCGAGTACTACATCTGCGGCCCTGAGCAGTTCATGCTCGAGATGGCCGAGTATCTCAAGGCTCAAAAGGTCGATGCCCCTCGCATGCACTTTGAGCTCTTCAGCACTGGTGACATGGAGTTCAAGGTCGACAACCTGAGCATCCGCTCTGCGTCAAAGGCAAATTCCATCAACAGCAACGAGGCCAGATGCCCTAGTTCCGGAGCCATCTCTACGAATGGTGCTACTTGCCCCTTTTCATGAGTCTGGACCACATCTGAGCTGAACGAACAAAAACATAAAACTATTTACGGGGCTTGGGCTAGATTACGGGAAGTGATGAGGCGTTACGGTTTCGGCGCATATCTTATTCTTTATTGTTGTATCTCTTGTTATAAGATTCCCTTTCATGGCAAATTTTCTCTGTCAAATTATAATAACATGTTCATGTTCTACTTCTACACTACAGGATAAGGGGTTTCGACGACACATTGGGCTTATCTGAATGAAACGGCGGGAAGGAAAAGTGCGGGATTTGGGATGGGATTGGGAGGTGTCTAGAAAGTGAAAAGAGAAATCAACAGAATTTCATTGTTCTACCTGAATAAACAAACATGCTAAAACATGATACTCCATCTATATAACCACAACTATGCCACATAATGAGTGAATCACTTGGTGTGTACGTGGTCCCGTACTCGCTTCTCAGGCGATCCCCAGTCTTTGCCCGCCCCGGTTACATGGCAGGGTAGACTGGCTCAAGCATCTGAAATCAGGAGACAGATGGCAAACAAAGGAAAAAACCGCATATGCTAGTAAAAGACAGGAGAAAAGAAAGGATAACACCGGCTGTTCCGTTACTGCTCGTAGTTGTGAAACTTCTTCCAATGCTTGAGCAGATTGTCCTGCCTCGTAAACTTCGAAGTACACCCCTCAAACCCACAGATCCTTTCCTCGGTGAGAATACCCTTGCTCGCCGCGTAGCTTCTGTGAGAGGTTCGGTAGTGGCGATCCATGTCCCGCTGCTCTGCCTTGGTGACGTTGCAGTTGGGATCGGCTTTACATTTGACAGGCTTGTTGTGGATTTTCATGTGCTTGCTGCGTCGTATTAGTCAAAACATTCTTCGTTTCATGTTTGCAAACTTACTTCAAGTCTCTGTTGCCGCCGAAGAAGCGGTCACATTCTGAACAGTAGTGGGGAGTGGTGCCCTGGGCTGTAGACGACGATGAAGCCTCCGGCTGAGCTGAAATGTCGTTAGCTTGTTTCTGTTTCAACTAGAGATGGATGTAACATACTAGGCTCGGCAGTTGGATAGGAGCTGGGGTAATTCTGGGATGCATAACCAGACCCTGAACTGAGTAAAACCTCATTGGGGTTGACAGTTGCAGGTTGCTGCGTCATGTAATACAACATGCTTGGATCCTGAGTCTCTGGGGCACTCGAGGCTGCTGCGTATACACCTGAGTTGAAGTCAGAGACTTGTGAGTCAGCGCTCTACTGGCTCTGACTTGGACCAGCCTGGCTGTACGAGGCAAAGCCCTGGGTATCAGTGTATCCAGGGTATGGGGTTTCGGAAATCAGATTGGGGTCAATGGGAATGTCGTCCTGTTGAGATTGGTGAGATCTGCTGGAACGACTGTGTCTGTGAGAACGGTCGCTTCGTCGAGACATGTCTAGGATATGGTAACTCTTAGAGTATGAGTCGCCGAAGAGCTGAAAGGATGGTGGGTATCACTGAATGGATCTGGAAGCGTTGATATTAGCTCTTGAGAGAATATTGGAGGGAGATTTATACTCATTGAAAGAGCCTCTTTGGAGGCCGGCCGGGGGCCGACAGCACATTCCCATCTCTGCGATGTTTGATAGAGGTGACTCTATCAATACATGGACAAGAGAAAGGCTGAGAACAAGATGGAAAGCCTTAGATCCCGAAAGGCGGAATACTCAATGGCGAAGCGAGGATATGAGACAAGTCGCGATATCAAGACTCTGCCTTGTCCAGCATTCGCGACCCAAATACAGGCCAAATCCGGTGAGATTCATCATTTTGGTTGGAAGATCCAATGCAGATAAATATGAGATAAGGCGATCAAGAATGTTGGAGGCCGACTGGAGAGGAATGCACATGTTGGTCACCCCGCATGATGCGATGTGATTGACTGATGGGCCTCCCAAACTGGCCGGCCCCCGGCATGAGGCTTGGACAAGGCAGATCTTGTGGTGTTGGAGAGTGTAAAAAGTCGGAGAAGCTGAAAGCCTAGAGGCCTCTTGGATGATCAGAAGCTATATAAGACCAAGATCTTTTCTTCTAATGACTGACTTTGGTGGATGCAAACTGATTTTGTCAAACATACACTCCCGTTTATTGCACAAACAAGGCCCAGGATAGCAAAGGCAATCATGACTACTGGTAAGCTGGCCCTTCATCAGTAACATTTATAATAACTAACGGTCAACAGACGACATAGTCTCGCTCAAGTCCAGGCAGAAACGCCGTCTCTATGAGCCCATCGTCCTGTATAAGGCTCTTACTGAGATCACCCACGAACAAGGCGCTCTTCGTCCTGCTGAGGCCCCAGAACGGCCAAGGACCGAAGAAGAGCGATACCATCACTTTCTACATAAGCTCGCGAGTATCTGCGATAGCACAAAGGGCGGTAGGACCGTCACTTCAATCGCCGTACTCGACGAAGAAGAAAGGTACAAATACGTGTTTGCTTGCAACCAGATATCCGAAGGAGACCTTGACGATACACGAGATCTCCTAACAACAGTTCTAACAAGTCTATGTGACTTCCACACATTTCCTCTGGAGAGGAAGAAAACTGTTGAGAGTGAAATTTTGAAGAAGATTCTCTCATTCAACTCGTCAAGGATCAACTGCTATCTTAACGCACTGAAGGCGAAGAACATTGTGGAATGCTTGGAGTACTGCCAGCTACAGACAGACACAGCAGGTAAGTTGGACTGCCTTATACCAGGGTTCAAAGTAAAAGCTAACAAGAGATATAGACATCTCGGTTGAGGAGGGTTTGAGGGCTCTTGATGAATCTATTGAGCATACAACATTCAAGAACATGGGCTACAACGAGTGTAAGACTCACGAGTGTCGCATATTACCACACATAAACTAATCAATAACCAGGCTTTGAAACTTACAACATCATTCAACAAGCGCTCGAGACGCTTCTTACCCGTGATGTCAAAAGCTACATCGACATACGGGCCACCAATGGCCGCTTCAGCGAAGGCCGAAGCTTTGTGTGCTGGTCAGAGTTACGACACAGCGTATCGCGTCTTCAGAGCTACAAGAAAACTGTCCAAGATCTCATCGCAGCGGAGAGAGAATGGCCAGATATTTTCCAGGAATTCGAAGTTGTTTCCGTAACGTCCAGTCAGGCAGAGCTCAATCCCCTTGGTAAGAAGAGTGAGAAAGCTTCCAACATCATCGGGCGTATGTGCAGCAATGAAGCTTCGAGACAGCGATATTGCGATCTTGCACAGAACCTGCAGAGGATGTTCGACTTGGATGACCGTATACAAACTCAGTGCACCAAAGCTACTTTCAAGCCAATTGTGCACTGTGAAATATTGGTTCTCGAGTGGATAATGGCCCTCAATCGAGAAATGGCTCGGGAACATCACCCAGAGGTCGCGTTCTTTAAAGACTGGAGCTACATTGGAAGCAGTAAACCAGCTTGCCAGCTTTGCCGCTACTACTTCGACACTGCAGGTCAACACAATGGTATCCGCACTCGAGCAGGCCATGGCAATCTTTACGTCAACTGGCGGTTTCCAGATCTTCACGAATCTGACGGGAGGTTCGGTCAAGCACGACGTCAGAGCATCTTCAACTCAATGATAGAGAAGATTCGGCAGGATGCTTTTGGGATCTTGGTGATGAGGAACTCGGAGGGTAAGAGGCATGACTCGAGCACCCATCCTCTCATGTCGGTGCGGTATACAGATGTTCAGACGGAGTTGAGTGTTGGTGATCTGCCCAGTGTTGATGAACTGGGCGAGGGTTTTGCTACGGGGCTCAGTCTGGACTCGCCGAGTAATAGTTTGGAGGAGTCGGATTTTGATGATGAGGATGGTGGAACTAGTCTTTGATGAGAGTTGTTTTATTTCGGGTGTCAATTTCGTGTCCTTTTCTTTCTCTAAGCTGTATCTCGTTTATCTCGTCAACGCGTGTTCCTATAACTTCGATAATGTATGACTTAGTGGTCATTTCGCTTGTGCCAGGGAGCGGTAGCCTCAAGAAGGTCCTTGTGAAGCTGGCTATCGCCACTGATCTTGTACACTTCGTCAATGATGTTGTTACGCTGCATGAAGATCAAGAAGCCACCCCAGACGAAGTCAGCATAGCTAGGGGTCTTTCCCAAGAAGAAAGGACCCTCGGTGTTCTCCTTCAGCAGAGCCTCGACCTCTTGGATATGTGCCTTTGCGTTATCCCAAGCCTGCTGGCCGCCCTTCTCCTTGTGAAGCTCATCAATAGGCTGGCCAGCCATCTTGGATCGTGTCTCGTGCCAGTATGGGATGCTCTTTTCGCTGAGGATGTTGTTGGGAACGGTGTAGAAGTAGACGGGCCGAAGGGCGGCCATGATATTTGGTATGATGGAGAAGAGCTTGGCGAGGACGGGTGAGTCCTTGTGGACCGAGGGCTCAGGGTGGTCCTTCTCGACGCGCTCGAGGATCTTGTTGGAGTCCATGATGTATTCTCCATCGGGGAACTTGACGGTTGGGATGGTCCATGTTCCAGTGGACGGGTTGGCAGAGGCACTGAAGAGTGTTAGTTGAGTTGTTACGAGTGTGACATTGACGACTTACTGAGGCTCAAGGGTAGGCTTGATATCGGGGTACTCAAGCTGGTCATTGATCAACAAAGAAAGCGGCTGTTACGAGATTCTTAACGTACCCATTCGGTCTTGTAGTCAATTCCCTTGAAGTTCAAGAGAAATCGAGCTATTGTACAATTAGTAGTGCATCACGAGGTGAAGCAGCAGCTTGACTCACTCTTCCATGGGTTGAGGGACCAAGCGCCAACAGGATCTCGGCTTGGGAGATCAAAGAGGACGTATTGCTCAGACGACATTGTGAGTTGATGGTGATGGTGAATGAATTGGCTTGTACAATGACTGAGATGAAAGTTGTAAAGATTGAAGAGGATCTTTACGAATATGTCATTGTCGGTTAAGCTACACGAGCTCCAAAGCTAAGCTCATGAGGAGAAGGAGGGGCAATAGTGGGGAGTTGGGGCTGTCATAGATGGAGATCTTCGGTTCTGGGCCGAGGAATTTGGTCGACGAATCAGCGTTGATCTTTGGAACATGCAACTCGAGACTATCTTGAAAGAAACCAGCAGAATTTGGTCTGTATGTGGGACAGTCGCTGTACTATGCAGATATTGCGTTCCATTGTTAGTCATGCGTCCTGACGATGATGGATAGACCCCTGTTTCTGACTCGGGAGCCGTAAGCATCAGCCACAGATTACACCCTCAAACATCAATATCATTCAAGATCTTTAATGGCAGAACGTTCATTGACTAGCAGCTTGTATGGATATTTCTATCTTACTATATGCCTAATCTTGACTGATTGGAGGGGGAGTCTAGATTAGGCATCCGAGTTTGGCGGCCGGGAAAATCAAGTGAAGCAGCAATAGTGGCGAGTTTCGAGCTGTCATCATGAATACACCATTCCACTCAAGGCAAGACAAACATTGCGTCGATCAACAAAGAGACACATCCCTTATACAATTTGATGCAGGAGGCGACTTTGCAGTGCGCCCGACAGCCTGACCAAAATACTTAACTTATAATCACAAAGCCATATCAAGTGTGTAAGGCTTCCGACCTGAAGATTCTTAGGTTTTCTCTTTACAAGAGAGGTGCTGGCTGTCATCATACAAAGGTTCATGGTATCCTTAAACATGAAACCGCCATCTTCGTCGGCTACACCATCAACTTGGGTTTATGGATCTCCCTCAGCCTTATGAGGATAGAAGTCAACGCGGAATTCCGTGTCATCACTAGCAAAAAAGGCCAAGATAGTGGGGAACGAGAGGTGAGAGCTACAGGATCTAGCTAAGCATTTTACCCCTGTCGTTATAAGCACTACTCAGCCCCCCAAAAGAGGATCGGCCGTCCAATCGCCCATTCAACATGGTCCGAATCCTTCGACGTCACAGATAGCAATACTGTTGGCTGAACCTTGGGCTGAGACACACCCACTGAGCCTTGCTACAGGCGTTGAATCCTACTCTATGTGCCTAGAATTAGCTCCTTGCATTGCATACAAGAAACCCTGAGGCCCCCACCTCACTTCTTCAGATTCTTACAGCTCTTGTCTCGCCAGATTTCATGAATCATTATACAGCACAACGATGAGCACAGAAACACACAGCACAATGGCCACGATACAAAACACTATACAGCCCAACACGCTAGAAGCACCAGGCTTACCACAACGCCCTACAACTCCGAGGTCAGTAAACTACGGCTCTATCTCTCTTCTGTTAGCTAACTTGACATAGAGTGATTCGCACCGTTGTCCACGATGAAGGTCTTCCAGAAGTTGTTCACTCAAATCAACCCTTAAATGCCACAGAATACTACGATGCCCCGATACCCGTAGACTCAGAAACAGACAAACGATACGACGAAGCTCCAATTCCAGTCACAACACTCGATAAATATGAAGATGCGCCTCCGCTGCCAGTTCGTCCATCTTCTATCACACCGCAGCCTCAGCAACCCTATCCCTACGGCCCAGATGGTTATACTCAACCACAAAATCCCGGCTTCGTTACTCAGTCACCGCAACTACCATCCTTAAACAGCAATGAGGTCGTAACGTATGTGACACCGCTCGACCAGCTTGGAGATCACCCAAAGTTTGTGGATTGTCCGTTCTGCAGGCATCGCGCAGAAACACGAGTGAAGAAAGTGTCTTCAAAAATGACACAGTGAGCCCCCCAAAGCAGCTCCTGAGACTTTCCAAGCTAACAATCTCAGTGTCTCTGCAACAGTCCTCGGATTCACGACGATAGCTGGCGCTGTTGTTCCTTATGCTGGGAAGTGGCATTCTCACACAGCTCACTACTGCAGCAACTGTGACCACAAGGTGGCAATTCGAAAATGGGGATCGAGTCAGATGAAGCCTCAAGGGACAGCCGATTATCTGAGGGAGGCATCGAGATATGGCCCTGCTCACTCACCGAGCATGTCTAGTAGCTCGACACGAGGTTAAAAATGATCTATACGAGTAATAGCCAGGGATTGATACCAGGATGAGAAATGGTTTTCAAAAAAGAGAGGAGAGGAGCTGTTAATCTAATTCGATATCCAAGTTATAAGATATAGTTGCATCAGAGCTTTTGGTTTGATTTTGAAGGCATGAACATCGGGTTCATGAAGTGTAAATGAGTAGTTATAGGTGCCCCCTTAAGTCAGGCTATTAGCGGAGAAATACGCAAATCTCGACAATAGCTTCGTTCGCAAGTCTCATTAGGCATACTCTTATAAGTACTTATCATTATCGACTGTTGAAGATGGCTTCGTCTGGCCAATCATATACTGTGAGAATGTCGATCCGGGTTCGGGGAAGCCAACGGCTTGGCTGTTCCACGAGGCCTGTCAGACGCTTATTTTCTGCCCTGCCCTGTCAGATCTCAATGGAACCTGAAACGAATTATACGAATGCGTTTCCAGTCTGTAGAGAACAATTGTTATATTTCATGCTGTTACAATCCAGTTCCGGCCCCTGTAACTAGGGTGTCTTTACAGCACCTCGTCAGAATCAGAGCCAGTGCTGTAGCTGGATCAGTAGGATCCCAGTACCGGGAACTTGGACAAAAACAGACTCAATTGAGACAATACATGCCTAAAAACTCTTCGTACGATGCCGATTCTGGCTGCAAGATGCTTTTATTTACTGCAATTGGCTCAAAGGCAGTAAAATGGCTTTGTGGCGTCAATTAACTGCGGGACTAACACCTAGGTTAGAGCAAGTACATCACTGTACATGTACTTAGGGGTTCACAGCGCAATTTCTCAACACCAGTTTCACTTCTCAACAACTCCCACCTCTCGCACGGCATCTCCAACATCGTCGTCGCACAACCTCGCAGCAATGGAAGACTCAACAGAGCATCACGACATTCTCGTTATAGGAGCTGGCCTCTCTGGTATTAATACCGCCCACGTTCTCAACCAAAGACTCCCCCACCGCTCGTACACGATCCTCGAAGCGCAATCGGCCATTGGCGGAACATGGCGCTTCTTCCGATACCCAGGCTTTCGATCCGACTCTTTCATGACAGCCTTTGGCCTGCCATGGTACCCTTGGAAGCACAAACATAAGATGGCGCAGGCGGGTGAGATCGTGGACTATCTGGAGGAAGCTGTTGATGCAGCAGGCTTGAGGGACAAGATCCGGTTCAGACATAAGATGCTGGCGTGCGAATGGCGGACAGACGAGCAGAATTGGAAGATAGAAGTTGATGCGGACGGTCAGCGAAAGACCTTTATCGCCAACTTCGTCATAACCTGCGTTGGATATTATGCATATGACAAGGCCTTTCCGACGACAATTCCAGGTCTTAAGGGCTTCGGAGGACAGGTCGTCCACCCTCAATGGTGGCCTGAAGATCTTGATTATTCTGGCAAACGCGTCATTGTCATTGGATCAGGAGCCACAGCGATCACAATTGTGCCCTCACTTGCTGAGAAGGCTAAGATGGTGACTATGCTCCAGCGCAGTCCATCCTTCGTCATCTCCCGACCTACGACTTCTAGCCTCGACTCTTGCTTGAAGTCCCTTCTCCCCTTCTCATTAGCATACTGGTTGGTGTATTGGAAAGACGTGTTGCTTGAGGTCTTTTCCACACAGTTTCTCCTCAACTTCCCTGCATTGGGTCGCAAGGCCTTGATGGGGGAGATGCAAAAGGCACTGCCCAAGGACATTGACGTCAATGTTCACTTTAACCCCAGGTACAATCCATTCCAGCAACGACTCTGCATGTGTCCAGATGAGGACTTCTTCAAGGCTCTGCATCAGGACAACTGCGAGATTGTGACGGACACAATCGAGACTGTTACGAAGGACGGTATCTTGCTCAAATCTGGTCGCAAGCTCGAAGCCGATATAATCGTTACCGCAACGGGGCTGTACTTCCAACTCTTCGGCGGCATAGCCCCCCTAGTAGACGGGCAGCCCATTGAGGTTGGCTCACACTACGCCTGGCGTGGCTGCATGGTCGACTCTGTCCCTAACATGGGCTTCGTGATGGGCTACGTGACAACATCATGGACGCCCGGCGCCGACATTATGGCCAAGACATTGATCAGTGTTATCAAGGAAATGGAGAAGACGGGGTCAACGAGTGTTATGCCCGTGCTCAACGAAAAGGATAGGAGCAAGCCACAGAAGCTCCCAGTCAGTGCTACCAGCAGCTATTTTGTCAAGGCTGCGGATCGTATGCCAAAAGTGACTGATGAAGGCCCGTGGTATGGACGAGTGAACTTGGCCAAGGATTGGTGGGCGTGGTTAATGGGTGATATGTCGAGTGGGCTTCTCTATAGCGGAGGGCAAAGAAAGAAGGATATCTGAGACGTAGATACCTAAGAGAAAGAATAACGCCACGAGTTTGCTTTTCGGGATTGTTGGATCTTGATGGTGTTTGCCTGGATCCGACGTTGCCGGGGGCTGTTTGGCTGACACGATTTATGAATGATGAAAATGGCATTAACTTATAAGCTTATCAGGATCCTTGTAATCTCATATCTACATATAATTCATGCTGACCAATTCTGAGCATCTGAATTGAGACTTGTTGGACTTCCTTTCTGCCAAGGCTATTGGCTGCTGAAGATACCTCTGTAGTCAAAAGTCGGGCTTGGGCCTAGAGCTAGCACAATCGAAGCAAAAAGCCTCAATCTTTCCCGTCTTCGACACTTCCGCCAACCCCGCGATTGGTTCTTTTACTCATTACTCCGTAGTTATTCTCCGATTCGTTTACTCTCACAATCAAACAATTTCGATCACCATGAAGATTCATTTGTTCTTACTCATTTACACATGCTGATGACAGCCCAAAACTGTTGCTACTCTCGGTTATATCCCTGCCTTATCCACGCCAACGTCTGTCGATATCTTCGGTTTGACGAATCTGAAGATGTGAAATAATGGGACACCTGATCCTACGCCGCTTCATGGCATCCACGCGGGCCGGAGTTTAGACTAATTTAGTCTAAAGTCAATTCCCTTGCTCTTGGTCTTAGTCGATCTAGGCAGATCGAGACTGCTAAGTCACAGGTCACATATCATCTACTCGACTTGCTCGCACTTGTCAGTATTCACACCTACAACACACCTTACAACGGTCAATTGATCTGTAACCATGGGATTTCTGACAGATCAATCGCTAACCCATATCTGTCTGCAGGTGACCCTTGTATTACTTATCGCTCGACTCGTTCGTCTTGTTCGTCGCTGGTCTCGTCTACGCCATATTCCTGGCCCAGCCAGCGCAGGATGGACTTCTTGGTATCAGAGTCGAGGGGTTTTTAGCGGTCGCTATCATGAGCATTTAAAGAACGCAGCAGATCAATTTGGTACGGCATGCTCATCAAGACACTACCCAAAATCACTAACAATCAATAGGCCCTCTTGTTCGTATTGGTCCCAATGAGGTGCTCTCAACAGACCCCCTTGTGCTGCGCAACATGTCCGCTGTGCGAAGCACTTATACGAAAGGGGACTTTTATAGCAGCGGCAGGATAGTTCCTGGTGTTGACAATGTCGTTTCTGAGAGAGATGAGGCTAAGCATAAGTTTATGAGAGCAAAGATGGCACCTGGTGTAAGTCAGTCCTACCATCGCAACGCTCTTATGATACTAATAGCTTCTCAAGTATTCTTACAAGGAGAATGAAGGTTTCGGCTTCGAAGCAGGTATAGATCGTCAACTCCTCAACTTCATCTCGCTCATAGACCAAAAGTACCTCTCAACCACAAGCGAATCACGACCTCTTGACCTTGCCGAAAAGACACAGTTCTTTGCCCTGGATGTCATCGGCGATGTATCCTTTGGCGAGCCATTCGGCTACTTGGCCAAGGACGAACATCTCTTCCAGTACAATGAAATAAACGCTAGTTCGCTGCCGGTCATGAATATGGTATCCGTCTACCCCTGGCTAGGAAGGGTTGTTCATCAGTGGCCACTAAGTCTGTTGCTGCCGCGGGAAGAAGACCAGGTTGGCTTCGGGCGACTGATGGGGTGAGTTACATACCACTTAACGGTAACCCTAGCTGACTTTTGTAGCTTCGCGAGGCACTTTGTTCGCAAAAGGCTGGCAGAGGGGGTCACGATGAGGAAGGATATGATGCAGATGCATATCAGCAACGGAATGAATGAGGAGGAACTTATCCAACAAGCCTTCATCTCCATGTGTGTGCCCTCTAACCACTCCAGCGACCTCCAGTTGACCAATCTCAGTATCGCTGGTTCTAACACAACCGCACATGCACTTCGAATGACCATACTCTCCTTAATCACAAACCCAAATGCCTACCGCTCCCTCACCGCCGAGATTCGAAAGGTCGCCTCGTCAGTAAGCAGTCCCATCTCCTGGGCCCAGACGCAAACACTACCATATCTTCAAGCCGTCATTCGCGAAGGTCTGCGCATGTGGCCGCCAGTAGCTGGTCTCGGTTTCAAGCAAGTCCCTCCAGAGGGCGATACCATCAACGGCTTCTTCGTCCCCGGCGGAACGCAAGTCGGTCAGGGGTTCTACGCTGTTGGCCGATCACATCTTGTTTGGGGCCATGATGTTGATGTTTTTCGGCCTGAGCGATGGCTGCTCGCTGATGAAGACAGGCTAAGGGACATGATAGCGGCGTTGGACACACATTTTGGACATGGGAAATATTCGTGCTTAGGAAAGCCGATTGCTCTCATGGAGATTCACAAGGCTGTTTTTGAGGTCGGTGAGCCTATGCAATGCACCGCACACAGTTATGCTAACAGATGCTAGTTGTTTAAACGCTACGACTTTGCTATATTGAACGCTGAAAGACCTATCAAAACTCAGACTTCAGTCTTTCTCTTTGCTTCGGACTTTTGGGTCACGATCACCAGGCGCGATGACGAAGAGGACTGACTTTGAAAGTCGAGTATTTAGTTGTGATGTGTATATATTTCATATTCTAGATGTACCATTTAAGTTATATGAATTTGACATATTCATAGATCTAAAAGCCGGCATCGAATCATATAATGTGTCACACAAAGATCACATTTGCAACACCTCATAAGGCCAACTGGGTATTCATGTATTCAACACATACGACAAGCAACTCCGCTTGTCCTCTATCAAAGGAGTTGAATTAGAAAGGCTTCTGTACTCTATGCTCAAATCTCCTCTTCCTCGGGTTTCCTCGATGGCGTACCAAGTGTCTCAAGCCCTCTGGCTCCCACCATTTCCACAGGCGCGTTTGCTGGAATTTCCACGCCCTTCCCTTCAACGACCTTTCCTTGTCCCATAGCCTCTTGGTATTTCTTGCCCGTCTCATCCAACAAAGCTTGTACCTCCCCTTCTCTCTTCACAATATCCTCGCGTTCCTTCTTAAGCTTCTCAACACGGTTCTGCTTCCCCTTCATTTCCTCCTCCATACCCTTTAGTGTGGTCTGTAGACGAGCCAGACATTCTGTCAAGCTTGGTAGAGGTGATATCTTGGGCGGCGCTTGTAATTGGTCCTGGCTGGGATCTTTCCGAGGCTTCTTCAGGCCGTCCATACCTGCACGTGTCTGTGCAGCTTCGTAGGCGATTCGTCTCTCTGCATCGCTGTCGGACGAGGAATCTGAAGTGTGCCCTTCGGCAGCTGTGATGAGCTCTTCCATCATCTTGCGATCTTGTTTCCGCCTCTCCTTTTCGGCACGTCTGCCCAAGGAAAGTCCACCGTCCTCAACGTAATTATCGAACCCTTCACCGAGATCCTCGTCCTCGGCTATTAATCTTGTATCGTCCTTCTTTTTGCGACCAAATGGATCTTCATCATCTTCAACCGATAGAAAGTCCTTCTCCAAAGCTAATCGTTTACGCCGTTCCTTCTTTTCTAGAATTTCCGCTTCTGTTAAAATAGTCGTTGGTTGTGGTTGGTTGAGCTCTGACGAATCAACAACAACCGCGCCTTCAAGTTCAGAAGCATCCAAGTCCATAAGATCGGTGTCATCGGGCGGCAGTGTTGACGGCCTTTGTGGAGTATTTGGTGTTGATGATTGTAGCTCTTCCAGGTATTCTTTGCTGTATTTGGGTCGGTCGTCATCATCCCCAGCAGTCCTCATGGGAAGGCCTTTCGTACCCAGTCCTCTTTTGATAGCGCTGTTTTCCAATGCTCGCCCCAATGGCAACTTCTTTGGAGTGAATACCTCGGTGGGCTCATCATCTCCTGCAGCGCTATCGTCTCCGCCAAAGGACAACCGTGATGATTTGTTCGTTTTTTTCTTTCCTTTCAGGGATCCTGATCGACTAATCGCTGGTCGAACCACCACTGGTCCATCATCGTCGTCGTCGTTTGTGGCTGGTGCGTCTCCCAGGCCCTCACCATCAGCAGGATTGAAGCTCTTCCTAAGGCCCGACTGTCGGAATGGTTTACGGCCAGCTTTTGCGCCAAATACTGGTTTAACAGGTTCTGTATTCGCAAGGGTCAGCCTTGATCCCATCAGCAAGAGTCGCATTTTGAAGTTGTGGAAATACTCACCATCGCTACTAGCACTGTCGCCACCAGCTACTGAAGGGACATTTTCGCTGGAGTCCTCATCGGCGATCTTGATGACCTTGGCCTTTCGTTTGGCAGAAAAACTCATGATGCGATTGTCTTTAATGCCGGCGCATTAACTGAGAGGCAGAAAGTTCGCGACGTGGATGCAAGTGACGTGCATTTTGGCTCAGTATCTTATCAGCACGTGATGTTGGATTTCCGCCCAGAGAAATGGAGATAGCTCTAGGCCGCGATCGCGTCGCATGAAACAGCATCCAACTATTCAACCATTTATTGCTCAAGATGGCGCCCGCACAACCTGAGCTGAAGAAGGCAAGTCTTGGTCTTTTCCGTGTCGCATGCTCTTCAGCTTCGCCTTTAGCACTTCTCCCGGGCCGAAGCATTGCGATCTATTACTGCTGACCCATAGCTAACTTTTCTACACAGTACCTCGACAAGAGACTGTTTGTCCAGTTGAACGGCAGCCGAAAGGTCATCGGTATCCTCCGAGGCTACGATGTGAGCAATATTCGTGCGATTACATAAACAGAACTAATGGAACCAGGTCTTCCTAAACATTGTCCTCGACGAAGCGGTGGAGGAAAAGGATGGCGGAGAGAAGGAGAGAATTGGCATGGTTGTACGTTTTCCTGACGCACTCTCGGAGCATAAAAGACAAGATACTAACATTCTGACAGGTCATCCGTGGTAACTCGGTAGTAATGCTCGAGGCTCTCGAAAGAATTGGCGGCGATGACCGACGTGGAGACCGATAATCCTGAAGAATGGTGGAAACACTGAAAGAGACGACGGAAATTATGTGATCTTTATTGGCGTTGAGGTCGAAAATGATACAAGTCCTTGAGGGCAGTTTGTTTGGGTCACATCTTACTAGATATCAAGAGAGGAAGGATATCCTTGAATTGTTACACCATGTCCAGCCAAACACTGCACTGCACTGCACTACACTACCTTACTCCTTCTTCTCCCAGGCCTTCTCGTCATAGGAGTCCATCAACTGGCCAGCATAGGCCTTCTGCCAACCCTTGATACCTCCAATCAGAATTTCAGCCTTGATCTCTGTCTCTTCAACTTCATCGAGGTAGTCCTGCATCCAACCAGCACATCGTGGGCCTCGACCATTGCTGCTTCCTGGGTAATGATGAGTACTAGACCGATTCAGCTAATTAGGCGATGACTTACCGCAATAAAAGATGATTCTCTTGATGCCTGCCTGTTTGACAAGTTGGTAGATCTGAGGACGGGTCTGGTATAACGTATGAGCAGGGAGATTAATGGATGTAGCGACAGTGCCGCCCTCCCAGTCTGTCCTTCGAACATCAACTAGCAAGAAGTCCCTGTGGGCATTCTTTCCAGAAGCTGCGTTCACCTCGATAAGCTTTGCCACAATTGAAGGGTCTGTTCGAGGGCATTCGGCCTTAGGCTCAGGGAACTCCTCCCACCATTGCTTCTGCGGGGTGTCCTGCGGGGCGTCTTCTCCCATGATGTGACTTTTTGAAGAGAAGAGAGTAAAGTTTCGTAAATAAGTTTTGAGATGTCTATAGCAATTATATTGAACCAGGACTCGGGAATGATTGTGTACCTAGTGGAGGTTGGGGGTCAGGAGGACTTGAACTTTATATCGTGGCAAGGCGATGATGACGGGATGCAAGCAAACCCGGAACTTTTACCCCGGATTAAGGTTGTACGACAACATCACGGGTCAGATTACAAACCCTTTCCACACACTCAACAGTAATTCTGAAGAAATGGTTATTGATTCCGTAGATAGACTATAAAACTTTGGTCTTGATACGATGACATATACTTTCGAAAAGGGCGATTCTTTCGTTTAAGGCTATGCAGAAGCAATACCTTTGGCAAAGCGGATACCTACTCATCAAATATCCACAGCATGATTCATACATCTTTGACATGAAGAGATGATGGATGATAGAAATTTACAAATGGGCGCTCCTTGTATACATAGAAATGTGTATTTAATTTTCCAGAACATTGGTATCTAATTGTGTACATTTGTCAATTATATTATTCTTTAGGGTAAGCCCTGTAGCTCACCAAACTTCACACCAGTGCTGCCTTGGGGTGAAAGGGGAGGCAGCATTCAGTGATTGATGTTAAATGAATTCAATTTAATAACGCTATGCATGCTTTTAAATATCTGTAATCATGGGTCGAATGACTTCTCCTCCACAGCAATCTTTGACTCTAGAGCAATATCACCAGCAGATCTTCCAATCATAAACTTGTAATCACCGCCCTTAACCACCCACTTCTTTGCCGACTCATCAAAGAAAGCAAAGTCACGAGCACGAACTGGTATCTCAACCTTTGTGCTCTCGCCAGGCTTCAGTGTCACCTTCTCAAAGGCAGCCAGTTGCTTCAGAGGATCACCCTTAACAGTCTCAGCGGCTCCTACGTAGACTTGCACGGCGATGGCGCCGACGACCTTGCCCGTGTTGGAAACCTTCACGCTGACAGCGTAGTCACCGCTAGACTCCCAAACCTCCAGATCGGAGTAGTCGAATGAAGTGTACGAGAGACCGAAACCGAATGGGAAGTTGACCTTGTCGGCGGAAAGGCAATCGAAGTAGCGGTAGCCGATGAAGACACCCTCGCCGTATGTCACCCTCAGTCTGCCGTCAACGTGCTTTCCGGGGAAGTTGCCATATGCAGGGCAGTCCTCGAGCTTCTTGGGGAATGTGCAGGTAAGGTGGCCTTCAGGGGTTTGGGCACCTGTCAGCACATCTGCGATGGAATTACCAGCTTCCTGACCAGGGAACCACGTCTGAACAAGACCCTGGATCTTTTCCAACCAGGGCATAGCAATGGCGACACCAGTCGAGTTGACGACGATGGTGTTTGAGTTAGCCTCAGCGACCTTGGCGATCAAGCGGTCCTGGCTACCATCCTTGGGCAGGTTAAAGCTGACTTGGTCCTGGCCCTCAGTCTCCCAGAACGGCTCGTGACCAGTGAAGATAATGGCATAGTCGGCGTCCTTGGCAACGTCGACAGCTTCCGAGAGGAGATCACGGTCATGCTCCGCCTCAGACATGTATCCTACTCGCAGACCACATCGTCCCTCCAAGATACCAAGGTCAAGATCCTCTCCATCCTTAGCAGCAGGGGGTGAAGTGTGCATGGCGAGTTTGTATTTGCGTCCCGCCTCCAAGGAGACCTTAAACTCGGGAGGGTTATCACCACCGAATAGGAAACCCATCGCATCCTTGGAGTTCTCCTTCTGCTCGAAGACGACCTTGCCATCGATGATAAACTTGCTGGGTCCTAGACCAGAGGCGGTAAAGTAGTACTTGGCGGTTTCCTGGGCTGTGAAGGTACCCTCGAGGGTGACATCCTTGTTGCTGAAACCAAAGCTGCTCAGAACGGACACTTCAGAGTCGGGGTGAGCAGGTCGGACTTCGACAGGCTCAGGGTTGCCAGGCTCGAAGATCTTGAAAGTAAAACCGGGGTTGCCGTCCAGGTCGACAACGTTCTTGGCGATAGGGGGAAGCATACGGAATGTGTGAGCTCCTATTGCACTGTCAGTTATCGTTCCCTAAAATATCGCTTCTGGATAAGCTTACCCTTAGCATAGGAGAACTCTGCACTGTCACCGAGAGCTTCGTGAAGAGCATCCCAAGGGGTGACCTTGTAGTGAGTGTTGACAGACGCACTGCCGCCACCATGAGCAAGGCCGATTTTGGCGTGGCCTAGTAAGGCAATCTTTTTGCCCTTGACCTTGTCCTTCGACAAAGGAAGGACATTGTCTTGGTTCTTCAGCAGAACGATACCCTTGGAACCAGCTTCTCGAATAAGAGCTTGGTGCTTGGGGTTATTGATGGCCTTCTCGTCAGGAATGCTGGGGTCTTTGAAGCAGTTGAGACGCTCGAGGAACTTGAGCACACGCTTTGCACGCTCGTTTATGGTCTCCTCAGAAGTCTTGCCAGCCTTGATAGCCGCGATGACATCCTCGGTCTTCCTCCAACGGGTAGGACCAGGCATTTCGAGATCCAGACCAGCTTCGAGAGACTCGGCGGTAGAGTTGACACCACCCCAGTCGCTCATAACGAGACCATCCCACCCCCAGTCGCCTCGGAGGACTTTCTTGAGCAAGAACTCGTTGGAGTCAGCATGGTGTCCGTTGACCTGGTTGTAAGAAGTCATGACGGCCCAGGGGTTGGCCTCCTTGATTGTGATCTCAAATGGTCGGAGGTAAAGTTCTCGCAAGGCCCTCTCGCTGATGGTTTCATCGACAGTCAAGCGCTCAGTCTCCTGCTCGTTAGCAGCAAAGTGCTTAATGGTAGCTGAGACACCCTTGTCCTGGAGACCCTCCACAACTCTGGCGGCCATCTTGCCAGTCAGGAAAGGATCCTCTGAGAACGACTCAAAGTTGCGACCGCCGAGGGGATGACGGTGAAGGCACATGGTAGGTGCAAGGAGACACCGGGCACCTTTGGAGTGTGTTTCCTCGGCGAGGGCGGTGCCGATCCTCTTGGCAAGGTTGACATCGAAGGTTGATGCCATCAAACAAGCGGCAGGGAAGCAAGCAGCTGATGTACCACCAGCAAAGGCAGCTCCTCGAGCGCCATTGGGACCATCTGAGACCTTGACATTAGGAACGCCCTTGGAGGAAATGGGGACTGTCTCCCAAAGGTCCTTTCCAGCGAGGAGTGAGATCTGTGAGTGAAGTGATTAGTTGGTTGAATGAGGATATGTGAATGATGGGATGTAAGTAAAACATACCTTCTCCTCAAGAGTGAGGGAAGAGAGGATGGACTGGATATCAACAGAGGCCATGCTGATAATGAGAAGTCAATTGACTGAAGAGGAGTGAAGGAGAGTCACATCTTGTGAAACGAGGACAAGGCAGCTCTTTAATAGCACAACAGCCAACCCCTCAACGCCATGACGACTTCCCCAGGATAGTGAACTCGCAAGTACTTGACCCGAGTGATCCGTTATTCAACCGAAGGATGGCACTCATGTGGCCATTGAGTACCCGCTTTACGTGCATCTACGTAGGACGCGGTGTTGTGCCATTGGATCTCGGACAAGGTGGTTCCTTGGTTTAGTGGTGAGTCTATCGATGCTAGTGGCACCGATCCGAGGCTCTTCCGATGTTCAGACGGGGCTTTCCCAGTGAATAGCCTTGAAAGTCTCGGGATGGTTTAGTGGAGGATGTCCTTTTCTCGTAGTTATGTAAATTGAGTTCTGGAGCCGGTTGATTAGCCGTTAGCTGTTTGTCTAAGCTGGAAATGACTTTGGGCTGCACTCTAAAGTTGTGTCTTGCGCACAGAAGTACAATACAAGGTGAGGCCAGTGAGTGTCACGCATCGGCTAAATAGAAGTGTCCCGTCCTTCCAGAGCTTCAGTGGAGAACGTCGGCTCCTCGCTCCTAAGTTCCGGGGAGGGTCACTTATGATTAATAAGAACAGAAGAACACTTGCATGTAACGTTATCATATGGTTAGGTATGGAAACAAACATCTCAGAGTCTGTCAAAACTTAGTATAAACCTCGGAAAATTACCGTAGTTAAGTTTAGTTACGTATTTCAGTCTGTGGTCGTGTTACAAGGCCTCAACCTGGCCTGTGTCTTGTTGGACTCCCCCCAACTGGAGTATCACCTGGGGCCCCTGAACGATCGCCATTGACAGCTGCAAAGTTTGAGCACTAAAGGAATAGCGCCATTAGATGTACATCGCAGCACTATGAAGCAACAAGAGACTCAAATTGTCCGGTATGTAAAGACACCAACAAGTCCCTTATTCATACCTGAAGAGGAAACAAAGGAGGCTATTGACGTTTCTTATTCACAACCCTTGCTTCATCCCTTGGTAAAACAAACAAATATGCCCCTTGAAACCTTGAGCCGAGGATTATGCGCCTCAGAGAAAAGAACAGGTCAAACAAACTCAAAACATGTGAGTCTGCGTCTAGTTACTCCAACTCAACTTAACTTACCTAACTAGAACAGTGACGCAAACAAAAATAGCACACGCCAAAGACACAACCACACACACATTGACCTCCATGTAATCGTGTCCTCTCCCGCGATGCCATTGTCGACAAAACAGCAATTATAGGGAAACCAGGTAGTTACGGTCTGAACATGAGCGCCCATTCAGAGGTGCTCCGAGGTATTACACATCATGATTTTCAGTTGAGCCCCCTTTACTGACAATTTTAGGGGAGTCGTGGGCTTCAATTCCAACAGATCTGATTCTCGCCGAGTTGGAGCGTCGCAAAGATGATGGCGAGAAACCAGAATGCGGTTCGAGAACAAAGGGCTCTTATGATACTTCGGCGCATGTATTTGCACTGATACTTATCTTGACACTCAGCACGTTAGGTTGGTCTGGCCAATTGGGAGCTTTGACACGGTATTGATATCTTTCCAGCATGCGCATTTCCTCTTTTCTCGCGACGAACGATGCGCGGCCGAGGCCAAAAAACCGTGATATTCTACTGCCAGCACATTGGAACCGGTGTCCTTCTGGCAACGGCCTTCGTCCACCTCCTTCCGACCGCTTTCGAGTCCATGACCGACCCATGCCTCCCCGATTTCTTTAGCAAAGGATATACGCCGTTTCCAGGTTTTGTGGCTATGATTTCTGCTATCATTGTTGTCGGCATCGAATCGTACCTTACGGCCCGAGGAGCTGGTCACTCTCACTCTCATAATCATGGATACTTTGACTCGGACGACGAACATGAGAGTGAGCTGCCCATGATGGACGCAGCTGGACTGTCTGAAAGGAGGCACGGACCGCGACCCCCGGATATTCATCTTGAGAACATGGAGACTCAGGGGCTAGTTGCTGGCGTATCGCCTCTCCCTGGATCTTCACCTCTGGTGGGACAGGAGGGTAAGAAGCTTAACGATGATTTCAACGATGACGACTCGGATCTTGATTTGGACATGGAGGAGCTCGAACCAGCTGGATCAAGTAGTACGAGACACCGACATGGACCTTATGCGTCGCTCAAGCCTGAGGGAGTTGGGGCTGAGGAGGAGCCTATGACACCCATGACCCCGATGTCTCCCGGACCACAGAACCCCGAGGAGCAACAAAGGAAGCTACTGCAGTGCCTTTTGCTTGAGGCCGGAATTCTCTTTCACAGTGTCTTCATCGGTATGGCCATCTCCGTCGCTACTGGCCCTGCCTTTGTGGTCTTCCTTGTCGCTATCAGCTTCCACCAAACCTTCGAAGGCCTCGCCCTTGGCAGTCGTATCGCCGCAATCCAGTTCCCCCGCAAATCTCTCCGTCCATGGCTCATGGTTCTCGCCTACGGAACCACAACACCAATCGGCCAAGCAATTGGTCTTATCGTGCATCGCATGTACGACCCCAAGAGCGCAGGAGGTCTGCTCGTGGTTGGCTTCATGAACGCCGTGTCATCAGGGCTACTGCTGTATGCTGGTCTTGTGCAACTGTTGGCGGAGGACTTTTTGACGGAGAAGAGTTACAAGATTTTGAAGGGTAAGAGGAGGTTACAGGCCTATATGGCTGTTTGTGCCGGTGCGCTCTTGATGGCCGCCGTTGGAGCATTTGCCTAAGGGGGAGTTACGGGACAATCTAAAAGAACTGATGTACATAGAATGTAAAATTGGCGGCATCTTGTCAATGGCGTCTTTCAGGGTCGGCAATGGAGTTTTGAATGTAACGCGAAGCGATACAGTTATTGATAATGTTAGTCGTATTTCGTATGCCGACTTGTACTATTCAGAGTGATACTACTTCGTACAAATACTACACGGTAAGGTATGTATAGCTACACACTCACGTTCATTGACGCCATGATATCTTCTTTCCGAGGACTTGCATCATGAACAACCCCAGCCGGCCCCACATCAAAAGTCCGAACTCCCGGGGTCCGGCCTTCGAAATGGTCCGTCTGCTACCCCCTTGTCCCCTTTGCTCCAGGGTCTTGCGTGTTTCACCCAGTTATAAATCTCCTTTTAATCAGCTCCTACCCACACCCGCATGAGCTCCCATGACATGACGAGCTATCGAACCATCAAGAAGTGAGCCCAGAAGCTGAATCTTGAGTGGCTGTCTCACTCTCAAGTCGGACAAACGTGTCCCTCGTTGTACCTGTTCTGACGCATTTATCTCCCCTCCCTCTCCTCTCTTCTTGTGTCCATCATGCCTGGCCAACGTTTCGTCCTCTTTATTGTAGCTCAGGCTTTTTTTGCTGGACTTGCTGTGTTTCTCGCTTATTCGCCGTATCTTAATATGTCCGTCTCACCGACTGGTAGCCAGCCATGGGCTGATGGACCTATGAAGCTGGTGACAACACCACAGTATGAGACTAAGAAGGTTAGTCAATTGAACTCGGGTGTTTTGAGGTGTAATTGGCAATACTGACTTGTTCAATCTGGTAGACCGATCTCTTCACAACTGGCGCAACCCACATGGCGCTTTTGCACAATGCCATCATTCGTGGCTTCAATTCCATCTACCTCCAAGCTCCTCATGTGAAGGACGCCGACAAGGCCGACTTCATTGGATATTCTCAGACTTGGTTCAAGTTCGTCAAATCGCACCACGATGATGAAGAGGACAACCTCTTTCCCAAGGTCCAAGAGCTTCTCGGCGACGAGCCAGTTTGGGACGAGACCCATCATGAGCACGGTAAGAACTGTAATCTTCAATTTGTACTTTGTCACTAACACCGAGACCTCAGAGTCATTTCTTGCACCCCTCGCCGAGTTCAACACATACCTCTCTAACCTCGCTTCAGCCAATGATCTCGACGGCGCTCAAGTCATCAAGCTCATGGATGCCTTCAAGGAGCCCTTCGAGCATCACTTCCACAGCGAAATCTCCACCATCGCCGCTCTCTCGAACCACCCCAAGGCTCCCAAGGAAGACACCCCTGAAGGTGCTGCCGCCGGCCTGACCTTCAAGACATGGGGCAAGAAGACAGTCACAAAGGCCGGCGTGCTCGATGTCGTGCCTTTCTTCCTCCTGAACTTGGATCGAACCGCCGAGGAGGGTATGTGGGCTAACTGGCCCCCAATGCCTGCGCCTATCTCTTGGGGTCTGACAAATATCGCGGGTTCGTGGTACGGAAAGTGGTGGAAGTTTTCGAGCTGTGATTCGCAGGGCAAGCCGCAGGAGCTCTATGCTCTTCGGGGTCTGAAGCAGTGATTGGGAAGTCGGGTTCTTTCAGTCGGACTTGGATGAAAGGTTGCGTGCGTTCTTCTTTGGCGTTGTTTGGTAAGTGAAAGGATGAAAACTGTAGCTTTGTTAGTCGAAGAAATTCAACGGATCAGTGTGCCAATAGTCTTCACTGTTACCCTTGTCCCGACGGTGAATTCCTTCCGCATTTCAGATTTGTTTTTTTTGGTATAGGTCCGTAGAAAGGGGCAAACGGCGTTTTCTTTGAAGTTGTGAATTCATATTGTAACGTCGTGGTCACACTACATCGGGTAGCAGAATGAGTAAAGACTTGACTCGCAAACATGTCAGTGTCTCATAAGTCATATTGCAGAAACGACTTTTGAAAGAAACTATACATGACTCCGAGCCTTCTGATGAGTTGTAGAATGGCGATAAAGTCTCGGTTTCAACATAGCGACAATTCTTGTTCCTCGTCTCATCACTCTTGTAGACATCAACCAGAATCTTGAGGACGATATCAGCGAAGAATCAGACTCATAGACCACATCAAATCAGCGAACCTCGTCACCACCATCACATCACCAACATGGCTTGTTCCATTTCTTCGCTTCGAAGCCAGAAGGACAGCGGCAGTAAAGGTCCAAGCACGAGCTCGGATTCAAAAGTCTCCTCGACCTGTGGCAGGGACTCAGGCACGAGGTCCGCGAACTCTGACACCGTCGAGCTTCAAGACAACAAGTTCGACGTATGCTGGCAGTAGTACCGATAGTACCACGGTCCAAGTCGACTTTGACCATGCGGTGAGGCCTCACCTCCCCAATCGCCCTTTTCTCCACGAATGGTCGAAGAGCATCAACGCCGACCCGAGGACGATGAGTTGTCGAGCTGCACTCATGGACTCCGCAATCCACGTGCTCTCTACATGGAGTAAGTCGCGGAGACTGGCCCTGGTTTGTTTCTTGTTGCTGACTCCTTTAAGCTCACTCCATAGAATCCCTTCGATGGATGTGAAACAAAGAGGTGTAAGTGAAACTATTCAGCGGTTGAAACTCTTCCATTGGCAGAGCTTGTTGGACTTACATGAAGTACTGACAATCTCCAGTCTAGTGTAGACTCCATCCGCGCTGTCTGGGGTAGTCCAAAACGCCATTCGGAGCGTTTCCTAGAATTCCAGTCCAGCCGCGAAAGCGAAGAAGCCCCCGAGACTCGTTCTTCCAACTGTCCCAACGCCTTTAAGCGGTACACAGCCCAGAGTAGCACCCGTTCACCGAATTCGGATCGTGACTGAAGATCGTAGTGACGCTACCTCAAGTCCTCGACCGGCGGTACCAGACCTACTACAGCCTAATTCTGATTCAGGCGCGCTGCTCCGAGAGACGAGAGAGGGCTCAGGGACTGGCCCCTGGCTGGAAGCGCAGAACTTGACATGGGGTCGGCGTTCTGTATGGGACGAGCTTTGATTTCTTTGGACGATTATTCGACGCATACGGTTCGGGAGAAGGGCTTTTGGATTCCGTTAAGCTTAGGGATATATCGCGGGTATTGTGTCGACTGTTTAATTCTTGCTTAGGTAGGAGTTTTTGATTTCTGCGATAGATGGAGTTAGCAAGATTTCCAATTTCAGTATTGTGGGAGTCAACACAAGGTCCACGATCAAGACTATGTCTTCCTACATAGCTCTTGGGTCATAAATAGGTCGTGTGGATGTATCTGAGCCCGCGAGTAATAAGGTAATTCTGTCTTGTTATTGTAGGCCTGAACCTCAGTTGTCATGATTACCCCTGCGGTAGTATTCAGAATCCAAAATACTTGAAGGCCCACTGTGCACAGTGAGAGGTCTGGGTCTTCAGTGCTTTCAGGTTTCGAAGCCCCTGAAGGGGTTTGCAACTTAAAATAGCCGCTAGGCCGTGGCAGATCATAACCTTGGTCTAATAGTAACGCTTCTCATGACAGTGTATCTGAATATTCGATTGTTAACATTCAATCTTGGCGGTTATGCAACACTGAGTCAAAGAACAAGCGTCTATTTATAAGAATAGTGATCCGGTGGTTGTATTTGAACAGCTGTTGGCTGTTTATATGAGCTACCGCGGAAGAGAGTATAAAGTCCTTAGCCAAGGGACGCAAAACTTGATTCTTTCCAAGTCCAGATTCCTTATCGACTCTACACTTGCGTTCCAGCCGACGAAACAGATACCAACGTCTCTCTCAACTAGACCCCCCCCTCGGTCAGCCATCATGGGATGTTGCTTTAGCCACCCGGAACCGCCACTGCGAAGGCGGTCGAAATCGAAATCGAAATCGAAACCGAAGGGATATGTTGTACTTCCCAATGGGGCTCGTGTAAGACCCCGTCCTGACGGCTGCGAGCATAGTGATGGACATCGGCATCGGCATCGACACAGACATTGTCATGGACACAGGCATGGTCATCGTCATGGCCATAAACGTAGTCATCGTCGCCATCATCACAGGGAAGCAAGTCCATCTGGGACAACTCTTGTGCCGGACCAACGAGAGCCGGAAGCTAGCAATGAGCAATGATCAACGAACAACGAAAATGGTGTTTTATTATAGTTCCTAGCCGCTAATTGAAGCTATTGGCTCTCCCATGCTCATATCTCGTGATGTGGTATTTTCTCGTGCAGGTTCGACGGTTGGACCTTCCTTGTAAGCGATGTCCCGTTAAGACAAATAGTGGAGCTGCTCGCGTCATGGACAAGTCCGAAGTCCGTAGTCTGTGTCGTGGTTGGTCAGTAGAGGGGGGAGAAGTGCCAGGGTCTTGAACTTAGCTGATAGATACATGTTGTGTTGTCCCTTTGCGTGTTTTATACAAACTTCCAACTTCCAAACACAATCGTGATACTCGCAACCAACACAATGGCTTCCAACCGTCACGTCCTTGTGCTCGGAGGCAACGGAAAGATCAGCAGGCTTCTCACGGTCATCCTGCTGAAGAAGTCCTGGACTGTGACGAGTCTGATCCGTAACCCTGACCAGATCGATGACCTGAAGAAGATCTCGGAGGGCTTGCCAGGAGACCACAAGATCCTGGTTCATGATCTCATCAAAGTTGATAGTCAGGAGAAGGCCGCCGCCATTCTTGACGATGTGAAGCCGGACTCTGTTGTCTTCAGCGCCGGTGGGTTGGATCTTCACCCGGTAGCTGTGGGAAGTGTACGCTGATCACTAAACAGGCCCTGGAAGGGGAACTGATCAAGACACGGTAGAAGCGCTCTTACTGATCTTGAGTTGCTGTGTGTAACTGATGTGTTTCTAGATCATCCGCATCGATCGTGATGCTGCAATCTTCTTCATCAAGGCCTCGGTCGCCAACAAGTCCGTCAGTCATCATGTCCAGGTCTCGTACTTGGGCGCTCGACGCGAGCAAGCTCCCTGGTGGACTGCTGAGGACTGGGAAGGCTGGAAGAAGGTCAACTCAACTTTCCTGGGTCCCTACTATGAGCCCAAGACCGCCGCCGATGAAGCTCTCGTTACTGAAGCCAGGAAGAGAGACGGCTTGACCGCTGTATCTGTCCGCCCCGGTGGTCTCACCGACAAAGACGAAGGAGGAGTGCTCTTGGGCCAGACGAAGCAGGCCAGAGGCATGACCACTCGAGCGTCAACAGCCAGAGTCATGGCCTTGGTGTTGGAGAAGGAGGGTGTGAAGGGGCATTGGTTGGATGTTCTCGACGGCGAGGAAGATGCAGCGACTGCAGTCGATCGTTACGTCCAAGATGAGACGGAGTGTGCTGAAGGAGAGCCAGTCCTGAAGAACTAATCCTGTAATCGAGGATTATCGGTTATCACGACCTCCCAAGGCCAAGACGGCACTTGGTGGCATTCCTGTGCCCACCCCTACCCACCATGGCACGCGAGTCCCCCGTCCCTAAGGGGCCTAGTCAGGTACCCGGCCTCCCACGCTCCAGAGTCCCACTGTTTGTGCGGGCGGGTAGGGAATCACCTAGCAGTACGTGCGCTAGAATTCCCAAAAAGGGGAAAATAGCTTCATGGAACTACAGCATGGTTTTTTGATATTCACAACTCTGATATAAAAGATAGAACCATGAAACTCGATGCGAAGTTTGGCATTATAGGGATGCAACCTATCCAATTTTTTCAAAACGTGCATCGCAAAGTTGGGCTCAGGATCAGTGAGTGCGTAGTCGAGCTTCCCATACTCTCCCCTTTGATATCAGAAATAGAACTGCGGAACTGCTGCACCAGAAACTGATGGCCCTGAAGCTCGAAAGAGCCCGCTGAACTTGCAATCACTCGCTAAATCTTTTGGCTATAAAAACCCACCCTTTCTCCCCCGTAGACCTCTTTTCTCTTCTCCAGGTCAACATCGCATTCCGATTCGCGACACAAAAACGAAAACCTTCCGTTCCCAAACGTGAACCAAATTTGCTATTACAACTATACTTGCTACTCCCTAAGGTATGTCGCACTTCTCTTTGTGTTGTTACCCTTCGGGTCACTTCACTTCACGCTCCTTTGTCTCCCCTTCCAGCATCTCACATTTGCCCTCAGCATACCCTGTGTATCCCACCACTATCTTCACTATGGGAAAATTCGAGAAGCTCAAGTTCAAGCTTCGCAAGTTTAAAGCGAAGTTTAAGGTCCGCCGCCTCTTGGCGAAGAATGCCAAGGAGGACAAGAAGCACGAGAACCGATTGGCTCAGGTTCACCGTGTGTAAGTCCATCTCCAACTCTCTTCGACGTCTATCTACGACGAAACTAATCCATGTTTGCATAGTGAAGGGACTGAGCACCGGATCGAACGAGCTGTCGATGTCATGGTCGCCGCCAGACGTAGTGTCTACGGAGCTGAGATGCTCCCTCGCACCATGGACTTTGGTGTCACTCCCGAGGAGGCTAAGGCTCTCCACCAGAAGCAGAAAGCTTCTCAGAGCGCTGGTGGCATTTGGGATGGCAATGTTTCGAAGGACGACCCAACTGGCAAGGACGACGCCAACGTTGTCTAACTTAGCCTAACCCTACGACGACGACCACGATCTTACGAACTTTACGATAGTCACGACGATGAGCGGGTTTGAGGGTTATGATGGATCTCTATGGCTTTGAACAGGCACCGGTATTACAGTTGAAGCAGGTTTAACGAGGCTGTCTTTTCGAGACACACACAATATATCAACTGTATCCAATCTTGATCTTCTCTGACGTGAATGTCTTCATTTCTATATCTCTACACTCCCTAAAATCCTTTGAATCTGGCTCCTACTCTTGGGTCATAGTCTAGCGCGCTCGAAATCCAAAAGTGAGCAGTGTTGCCAGTCCTTTTCCCGTGGACACCCCAGTGCAGGAAGCCCACTCTAGGCGCGTTTTACTGGGAAAATCCATTCCTGTGCACTCTCCCTCCCATACTCTCGCCAAGTTCACTCCAAGGCACTCAAGAACAAACGCGTTGATCCCATAGTCACTGTTTATTTCACTAGTGGGCTCGTTTGGTGGAAGCTTAGGGCAGGGCAAACACTCGAGCATTGTGCAACCACGAATCGATATTTCACAAACCCGTCATGCACAGTAGACAGATAATATTCTATTGTTTACCACTAGTCCGTCTCCCAGGGTTACGAGCACTATGTAGAATCTGGTGGAAGAGTGTTGATGCCTCAGGGGGCGGGGCAATGGGATGGGAGTTGAATCGGCCGGCACGGAGTGTCAGGCTGCAGTGTCAAATGACGCCATCATTTACCACATGGTATACCTGACTACCTTACCGCGGCCACTAATGACGAGACATTGGTTGACGTTGTTGCGCGAAGCTCCAAGACGGTCTTGTGAGCCTGTGGTTACGAAATTATGTGGTGTTGAGGATGTTTGATCATATTCCTGCCCATCCTTCACAAGAGGAGCATGGACGGTCTTTACTGCATATATATCACACCATCTTAATACTGATTTATGTCTCTCGTTATGGATCTCAAGTTAATGGTGCAAATATCTAATCGTGCAACGACGACCATTCACAATTTCACCTGTCTCTCCACATCCACGAAAACGACAACGGACGTTGGAACAAAGTTACCTAACTGGCCTGCCCTTGTAACCATCTTTGACCCTAGCCTGATTTCATAAGAGTGTTATGTGAGTTGATAGACCCCGCAGCTGATGCTCAGATCACGCGCCTCACACGACCCTAGAGCAAGAAAGCATCAGACTTCAATATAGGTTATCAAAATAAACTCATCAAAATGCATCCTAAGCTTATCCTAAGCTTCCTGAGTTCATCCTAAGCTTTCATAAAGTTACCTAAGTCTTTTTATCACTTAGGATCGAGGTATCGTGTTTTCAATCCGCACTACTCACAAGCACAAATACAATCAAAATCTGAACCTCTTATTATATATACTATCAGCCCTTGAGCTAACCCGCAACACACATCCAAATAACCCCGTCTCCGACTCTCCTCTACCAGCTTGAAGCCAAGCAATTAGTGAGCCTCCTCCACCACCTTGTTGCCCAAATATTCACCTTATCATACGTTTCCCAGACATTACAGCAAGCGATACGACGCTGGAAAGCGCGCTGATAAGCATTTGGCTTGTCAGACCTGGTGTCTGGATTCCGCCCAAAGAGGAAAAAACCCAAGTAATGCCCGATGAAGATACAAATGATGATGTAGCCGTTGAAGGATACAGCCATTAGTATTATCAAGTAGTTAATGGCAAGCATGAGCGTGCGCAATAAAGTCGTGATCAAGGCATGTTCAACGCGGCGGGGAAAAAGGGGGAGAACGCGGTTGGCGGCGTTGATGCCGTTATTGACGCTGCCGTTATTGACACCGCCGTTGTTGACGCCGTCGTTGTTGCCAGCGTTGATACCAGCGCCTGCATCTTGTACATTGCTGGGGCCACTAGCGGAAGCAGGCCGAGAGGCCATGGGTTGAGCATGGGCAGATTGAGCACCAACGGATTGAGCACCAACGGATTGAGCATGGGCAGATTGAGCACCAACGGATTGACCATCAGCAGATTGAGCGGGACCGGGTTCAGCGGGACCGGGTTCAGCGGCAACAGGTTGAGCAGGATCGGGTTGAGCAGGATCGGGTTGAGCGGCAGCGGGTTGAAGGAGCGCAAGTTCAATACCAGCAAGGGGAACAAAGGATTCTTGAGGATTGCCGGCGTCTCTAGCCTGTTTGTGATGCTCCCATTCTGCGAAGACACGAGTTAGGAATTCAAATAGTATGGTCACCAAAACGACGCCGACGCAGGTGATGATGAATTTGACCGTGGAACCTATATACCACGCCTCGAAAATAAGGCAGGTACCAATATCGTTCCAGTTCCAAAGCATCTGGGAGGGGTGTCAGCTGTGTAATAATGAGAAGGGGACGGAATAACTTACGGTGTTGATCGAGCAGGATCTAAACTCCATATCGCTGGAGCTAGCGAGGGTGGTTGCGAAAGTTGGATCGTGATTCATGATTGTAATCATGTTACAAAGCTATAGCAAAGTGATGAAGTTTGTTTGATGATGTCTTTGTTGATCTTTTGATGAAAGTTTGATTGCTGAAGCAAGTGGGTGATGATGATGAAAGAAGAAGAAGAAGAAGAAGAAGAAGAAGAAGAAGAAGAAGAAGAAGAAGAAGAAGAAGAAGAAGAAGAAGAAGAAGAAGAAGAAGAAGAAGAAGAAGAAGAAGAAGAAGAAGAAGAAGAAGAAGAAGAAGAAGAAGAAGAAGAAGAAGAAGAAGAAGAAGAAGAAGAAGAAGAAGAAGAAGAAGAAGAAGAAGAAGAAGAAGAAGAAGAAGAAGAAGAAGAAGAAGAAGAAGAAGAAGAAGAAGAAGAAGAAGAAGAAGAAGAAGAAGAAGAAGAAGAAGAAGAAGAAGAAGAAGAAGAAGAAGAAGAAGAAGAAGAAGAAGAAGAAGAAGAAGAAGAAGAAGAAGAAGAAGAAGAAGAAGAAGAAGAAGAAGAAGAAGAAGAAGAAGAAGAAGAAGAAGAAGAAGAAGAAGAAGAAGAAGAAGAAGAAGAAGAAGAAGAAGAAGAAGAAGAAGAAGAAGAAGAAGAAGAAGAAGAAGAAGAAGAAGAAGAAGAAGAAGAAGAAGAAGAAGAAGAAGAAGAAGAAGAAGAAGAAGAAGAAGAAGAAGAAGAAGAAGAAGAAGAAGAAGAAGAAGAAGAAAGTCAAGGTCAAGATTCAAAAGGACGGTAACCGAGCTTCTTCAGGCCACTGCCTGGTAGGTACCTACCACAGTCATCGCTTCGCGCCTTCTACAAAACATGAACGAAGTGTTTTGGGGAGATGACGACGGGAGTCAGGAGAGAGGCAGCTTGGCATACCTACCTTAGTACCTTCCATGTAGAACTAAGGTAGGGTCAAGGATGGCCTCAGGAAGCAAGAAAATATAGGATCTTGATACAGGATGAACTTGCTAAAAGCCTAAAAGGTATCCTAAACTTACCTACCTACCTACTAAGGTATATGAAGTTACCTAAACTTATATAAAGTTACCTTACCTAAGCTTATATGAAGTTACCTAAAGTATTCTATCATTAGACTAGCCCCGGGTCTCTGTACTTTGGCTAGAGCTTTAGCCTTTGACTGTATGTCGACAATTGTGGCCGGCCAAGAGGCTGTCCTGGCTTCGACCACCGGTTTCTTTTTGATGGTATCTTCCAAATCTAAGACCAAGCGGGACTTCACGTCTCCTGTTTCTTCTAGCGGAGGCAAGAAAACTCAGGACCTTGCCCTTTAACAAAAATATCTAGGTAATTTAGTTAACTTAGCATGAGTCTAAGGGACTCTTTGCTAAGTTCATTTTGACGCATTGCATCTTGAGTCTTGAGTTTGCTTGCTCCCTGAGGTTCTTGTCCGTTCTTGTCTATCAGTTACTATCAAAGATGCAAGTAAGTCAAGATTGGAAATAGAATTGGCTGACAAATTATCTTGGCAAGGAAGTGGATGTCCCCCAATTTCGATTGGCGTTAACCCGTCGATCCTCAACATGGGGTTATCATACTAACCCAATTGAGACGCCCCCGTTCGAGTCTCGACCCAACTCGCAACTTTGATCAAATGCAACAGCTTTATTAATCACACTCCCATCTCCATCTCCATCCCCATCTCAATCTCCAGCAGCATCACGACTCACTGATACTGGACTGACTGCTCTTTCATCAAATCTCTACTACAGAGGCTCAGGGGTTCATCTCCACTCGCCATCATGTTTCGCCATCTCATGTCCTCAAAGGTGCGCTCCAACGCAGGCTGCTGGACCTGTCGTCTCCGTCGCAAGAAATGCGATGAGAAGCGTCCTGTCTGTGATGCGTGTGGCGCTCTCGAGATCAGTTGTTTCTTTGATGAGGAAAAGCCAGAATGGATGGACGGTGGACCAAAGCAGAAGGCCATGGCTGAGAAGATCAAGGCTCAGGTCAAGAAGCAGGCCAGCCAGCGTCGTGATCGCAAGTATATGGAGATGCTTGAAGCCGGTACTCGCAATGTCACACTACAGAATAAGGGCCAAAGCCAACAGCAGCCTCATGACGCTGCCATGTCCGCTGCATCCGACACGGATCCTCCTTCGGGCCATGAGTTTGGATCGACGCCTGCTTCTAGCAACACCAGCGGTGCCTCGCCCCCTGATATGCCATGGCACAGTCACTTCTCTGTCCCGACTGAAGATTCCAGCAGCTCAACTGGCGCCAGTACCGAGATTCACTTCATCATGATCTACCTCGACTACGTCTTCCCCTATCTCTTCCCCTTCTACCGTCCTCCCATCTTGGCAGGCGGTCGTGGCTGGGTACTCGACGTGCTACAAAGCAACAAGTCCGTTTGGCATACAGCTGTGTCCCTTACTTCGTACTTCTTCAGCATAGTCATGGCCAACGGCGCAGTCGAGCATCAGGAGTGCACAAACCGCATGGTTCATCAACTACAGTCTCAACTTGAGATGGGTTTGAGGGAACTGCAGCGTGAGATGACCGCCGTAAACCACAAGGTCTCCTGCGCTGGCGTCAGAGATCGCCTCCTTGTTCTACAAGCTATCCTACAAATGCTCATCTTTGAGGTTTCGACGAGTAACAAGGACCACTGGAAGATGCACCTCGATGCCGCTATTACCATGTTTCAACAGATCCTCCCGCAATCAGAGAAATGGGGCGAGACATTGGAGGCTCTCTACAGCTTCCGCTGGCCACCGCCAGAGATGGGTCTTCGAAGGCCCTTCAGCACTAATCAAGCTGCCCTTCGCTTCTTTACAGCTAATGTCCTCTACATCGATGTCATATCCAGCATTACACTCGAGCAGGCACCACGCCTTCAGAAGTACCAAGATAATATTATGCCCAGTTGCAAAACTTACACCAACCCCCGCGAAGTTCGGATCTCGGGCTCACTCTTCATGGAAGATTATGTTGGTCTCAACAACTGGGTCGTGCAGATCATTGGTGACATTGCGGCACTGGATGCTTGGAAGAAGGACCAGAAGAAAAAGAACTCGTTATCAATAAACGAATTGGTCCAGCGAGGCAAAATCATGGAAGACGCCATCAAGGGGGGGCTCAGTGTCATCGAAGCGCAGATTCAAGCATCGGGCCCCTTCTTCGATCCTGTGATAAGCGTTGTGGCAAACCCTACTCAAAATTACGGCTACGGTGTTGATACTAAACAAGCGCCTGGCCTCGCGGTCAATAACATGATCTGGCTCCAAGCAGCGCTCACATACCTTCACGTCGTTATATCCGGCTGGCAACCGTCTTGCCCAGAGATCCAAGCCTCCGTTTCCCGCATGACAGAACTCCTTACGACCCTTCCAACCGAGGTCTGCCTCCGAACTCTGGTGTGGCCCTTTTGTATTGCAGGTTGCCTTTCACCCCCTGAAGACGAGGATAAATACCGCGCAATGGTGGCGCGTCTGGGCCCGGTCAGTGTGTTCGGCACAATCAGAGAGGCACTTGAAATTATGGAGAAGGTGTGGTCGAGGCGAGATCAGATTGATGAGACTTGGGATGTGGCCAAGTGCCTTCGGATTCTGGGACATGAAGTTTTGCTGATTTGATACCCTTGGGAGGGAGTTTGTTGATTGTTTCAAGATATGAATATTGCTTTACCTCACTTTCTACTGTGAAAAGGATTTCTGTTGTTTCTGGAGGAACACATATGAATTGGCATTTCGTGTCTTCTTCCCAAGTGCAACCCCCTTACTACAATTCAAGAATACTTCATCTGAAGCGGCACCTAGCTTTTATACACAGTCTTGTCTTCAAACATTTTAGGTCTATCTGTCTCTTGTTCTTTCAGCAACAGTTATTCTGGCCAGGCCCCATAAACACAAGGTACGTTGGCACAGTGGTTCATGGAAACAATCCATGTGAACCCAAATCCCGATTTTATTCATTTTCTGATGATGAAGCCGATCTAACCAGTAGACATTACCCAGGTGTTCCAAACACTCATTTCCAATAATCGACAAGCAAAGCAAAGCGTCCAATCTATTATATTCCAAAAGCACGATTATCCCTGAACTCTTTTACCGCCGAAGAGTGTCTGTCTCTTCTCGAGCAGATCAAGATCCCACCAACCTTCTACTCGCTCTAGTAGAGTCTTGCGCTTCGACCAGACCCTCTCGAGAGGACTCTTCGGTCCACTATCGTTCATACGTCCCGGTGATACCGGAACTGGAGGCAAAGGAGGAAGATGTTGCAGAGGCTGTGGCACTTCCTTTCTCTTTACTCGGACAGGCGCCGTGGGGGGCGGGGGACACCACGGCTGGCGTGCGCTCTCAGCATCAGAAGAGTCGCTGTCGAACCGCTTCGCCATGGCCATGGTCCCCAGACTTCGCTCATGAGCCATCACATGCGGTCCTAGACTGATGCCCAGGGCGTTTACCTGCCCCTCACGGCCGCACCCTCAACCCTCGATATCCTTGGGAGCAGGGCGAGATGCGCCCTTTGTTCGCTTCCAGAGGCATCCGGAGGTGATGGCGGAGAAGGCGAACAGCACGCAGAGGGCAATGCTGAGGCCCCAGATGGACTTGATCTGGTAGCACGAAGCCTTATCAGGGTCGACCCAGGCGAAAGTGTTGCCACGGGAGTGGTATACGTTGTGGAAGAGGGAGTTGACAAAGTTGGCCGTGTTGCCGTCCGAGGGAAATTTGGGGCATGAGAGGTAGCTGACGGGCTTGCCAACAGTGCAGGCGACCACGATGCATGCAACGAGAAGCATGATATCGGCACCAGTCGAGAGGAGGAGAGGAAGCATGCCATCCCAGTAGAGGATGTAAGAGATGGCGATGTAAAGGGTCGAGATGCAGGCCTGTATCATATCGGTCAGTCACTCTTCGATCACAGACATATCCAAGCCAACTTACAACAACCAGTGTTCCAATCAAGGCAGAAGGCGCCGCATAATCAGCGTTGACCATCTCACCAATGAAATTGGCAGTCAATCCGATGATCGTGATCAGAGAGATAAACTCCATGGCTCGCATGGCAGTCCAGGTGTGCCCGAGGGCTCCGAGAGCAGGCTGCATCTTGGGCTTGAGGGTTCCAACAGATTCTGTGTCTAGAGAGAGACGAGGGCGCGACGAGCCAGCTGTGCGCAAAGGGAAGTTTTTGGCGTAGAAAGGGATGGAGGGGGGTGAGGAAGTTATTTTGTCTAAGTGAAGGGCCCGCCCAAAGATGAGGCGAGAGATGGACTCGTAAAAGAAAGGAATTCGTTATGAGATTCGTCTGGTCGTGAGTAAGAAGAAAAACCCAAGAGAGGACAAAGGAAACTAAGGAAATGAGACAAAAGGAAATGAGAGAGAGAAATTGGTGTTTGCTGTCTAAGTTGTTTGATGAAGAGGAAAGGATATCTCAACCAGCCCGATACTCCGTGTCTTTATACACAAATCCAAAGTCAACAAACCTCTCCAAGATACAAGAATAACACACTCAGTTCATGGGTAGGACCTTGTCTAGCCTCGTTTCCAATTACAGCAACCGCCTACTACCAGCCGCCATCGCGCTTCACGCTCTCCCACAGACGATCATCTCAACCCTGCCAGTTCAACAACATGATACAGCAATTCTCTTGCTGTTCCTGGGCGTTAGGTTCTGTCGGCCAATGAGGCTTCAGAGGCTTAACGTTGTGGCGGCGCTTAGACGAGCAGGGATGTTGGATGAATAGCAATAGCCGCGCAGGGAAGAGAGCGGCTGGTGTTTCAGAAAACATCGACATGACCATGATTGGGTGAGAGTCGTTCTTGGGCAAATACGGTTCGTTGGCCCGGATGAGGCTCCTTTGTTTAGAATGAGGTCGCATACACGGCGAGATTGCGTGGGTGAAGATTATGAGTCCACTGTTGCAAGTTATTCCGGGATAGTCGTCCTACTGCAACGGCAACTGATCCGGTCCAGGATCGATCTCGGCTGTTGATCTGATCTTGTGTGGTTCATAATGATCGTCGTGAATCCATTGCTGGTTAGTTTTCACCTGACACGGCATAATCGATCTAATGGTGGTGGCCTACCACAGGGGTCAGGCCAGGCCAGGCCAAATTGGCTGAAAATAGAGCGACATGACATGTCAGTTCATTTTGTTGCGCCAGACGCCTATCTAGGATCCTATCATGAATACAAACATGCTGTCCCACTGCTTATTATTCTGTACATTCTCAAGCCCACTCAATCAACAGAGGCATTAGTGCCCCAACCTTCGTCTCAGTTCCAGGTCATGATCCACCATTCTCAAGATAGATTTAGCACATAAGCTTAACCAAGGAGATCGTCCATAGCAGATCCGCCGGTCTTGGGAGGAGCACTGCCGCTGGAGGATGGAGCTGCTGGGGCTCCCCAGATTCCAGCACTGCTCTTCTCCTTAGCAAGTTGGCCCATTGCGGGTCCAGTCTTGGGTGTCTCTGGCTTCTTGACACCTCCACTCGCCTTGCCCCAGAGAGCTCCAAAGGCATCTCCACCGGCAGCGGATGCTGGCTTGGCTGATGAGCTCGTAACGGGCTTCATGTTAGCCATAGTAGTAGGGCCGCTGGGCGCGGCGCTGGAGACGCTTCCCATGCCTGAGAAGGCAGATGTTGTTGGGGTCTTTGCTGTCTGTGCTTGGACAGAGCTAAAGTAGTTGGGTCCAGTCTGTTGGAAGGCAGCAGGCTTGGGAGCCTGTGCCGCAGGGGCAGCAGGGATGCTGAAGGCAGAATAGTTGGGCCCAGGAGTTCCTGAGGCACTTGGTGCAGGTGAGATGGACGCCATGCTAACCATGTGGCTAATGTCAGCTTGCTGAGGAGCCGATTGAGGTTGGGGAGCAACAAACTGGGCGGTTGAGGAGGCCGTCGATGTCACAGCAGGGCTTTGCATATAGTTGTTGGAGGGTGCTGCCTGAGCAGGGGTAGCTGACTGGAAGTCGTCGAACTCGTCATCGTCGTCTTGCGCAGGAGCGGCGGCAGTGTTGCTTGGAGCCAGCGCTGGTGCAGCAGAAGATGCTGGCGTAGGGTCATCGAAGGAGAAGAGATCAACCTCGGGCTCCTTCTTCTTGGGAGGCTCAGCGGCCTTCTTAACAGGAGTGCGCTCGGGTCGCTTGGCGGCAGCTCTTGATGAGCTGGCAACTGGTCTCTCGCCCTCATCGAACTCGTCGTATTCCTCAAATCGCTCGGATCGGCTGGCAGCACCATCGCCTCGCCAGTCATCAGACTGACCTCCGAAACCACCACCATCACCATAAACACCACCAGAGTATCCGCCATAGTTGCCAGGGCCACCGCTGCTACCACCGCCTCCGTAGCCAGCGCTCTCACTGCCAAAACCGCCATAACGACCAGAGCTGCCACTTGAGAAGCCACCTCCAAAGGTCGCACCACCCTCAACTCCGGTATACTTGTTCTTGGTCGCACGCGCCTTCTTGCGCTCGGTCCGGATGCGATCCACGTCACTAAGAAGATCGGCCAACTCCTTGGCTCGGTTGCGCACGTTGATGCCCTGGTCCTTTCCGTTCTGATCAATAAAGTGAAATTGGCGCAGCATCTTGAGAAGCGAGATGTGCCCTCTAGCATCGTCGATAACGCGCTCGGAACCGTGCTTGATAAGAAACTCGAGTAATTGGAGGGCCTTGTAGATCTGACGCCACTCCTCGGCAGCCTTCTCGGTGAAGCGACGGTAGATCATGGGCATAATCTCGTTAAGGGTTTGGCTTGCTCACGGTCAGCAGTTGGTCTTGGATATGGTTCGGAAATGACGAGCGTACTAGTTGAATGTTCCATTGGCAATCTCTTGCATAAGGGTCGTTGAAGCACCCCATGGCTCGTTATTCGTTGCTTCTCGCACCTGAAGATGGGTAAGTCGACAATGTCCCGGTCTGTTGTCGTGCAGAGCTCAACCAACCTTGGCCTCCATCTCGGTAAAGTTCATAACAGCTGGACATTCGTCAGTGACTTATGACGCGCATTAGGTGGTCGCTTAAGGGGGTACCATTCTGGGCCTTCCGAAAGCCTGCCTTGAGGTCATACAAGGTCAGGTTGGAGACCGTGTTCTTCAGATCGTTAATATCCATGATGAATTAGTCCAAGAAGAAAAAAGCCAGCAGAAACGTCGAAGGATGGGCGCAGAAGACACGGAGCCGTTGATGATGCTCCTGAAGGGATTCGTAATGGAGTATCTGGAGTTCAAGATGCCCCTTGCTACGCTATTGCCATGGTGGACACTTGGACATTTCCCAGAGCCCAACGTCAGCATGGATCATGGCTAATCACGTGATACCATCAACATTCCTGTATGAGGATATAGAGATTATGGAGTTGATGAACACTCAGGACTTATAGCACTGATCTGAGAAGTACAATTGAATTATCAGTCCATCGCCTGCCCTCTAATTGGCATGTGTTACAGTTGTAGAGCCAGAAACCGAGCTTCTAGCAGGCACTTTAACTCAATGGAAACATCGAGTCCCCGCCGTACAACCTTAGACTTCAGGCCTGAACAGGGCCCTAGAGGGCCAGTCACGGCGCTAGAATTGGATACCAGACGTCAAGCTGGTCCAAACTTTTATCTTCCCTTTCTCGAGATCAGTCCAAAAGACCAACCTCAGCACGTACATCACCAGTTTTGTGTAATTCTATCTATCTAAATCTGCATCTTCTGTACTATCGATTCAATTCCCCAAGTGTATTAGTCTTCAAGGTACGTGCAAGTTCAATTGTTTTCCCTGCCGCATTTGCCTTTGTTCTACCTACACAGGAAGCTCTGGGGAAGCTCAAGCTGTAGTGCACGCTACAAAGAGAAGAGAAGCGAGACGCCTTTGAGGCAAACATTGGCCATCTGAGCACCTTTCTCGGGTCAATGGTATTATTCTGACCCGGATTGGGATCTTGGAAAAGCCAGCTGATCGGCCCAATACCGGTATTGTCGGCTTCTTCTCGCCTTTGTTCCTCGCTCACTACCAGCTTGAGCTTACCTGGTGCTGGTCTGGTTGCCCCTGTCCTACCCGATCCTGCGGAGGGAGGGGAGCTTCTTTTCCCAGCGTCTGACTGTTCAAACTGCATTGGAATGGTCACTTCTACCCACGGGTTGATTTATGGACTGGATACTGGTACATTACATGAGACTCGAGGTGGAGGGCCCATGCAATCCACCGGGGTGGCCGCATCCCATGTCCCCTCCAATGGGGGTGATGCTTTGGCAAAAGTCTGCTGCACTTCGGGCATATCGGGCCACTGACTCGACGCGTCTCTCTGGACTGGTGGTTTGAGGGGCCATGTATGTACTATGTACATACAGTACAAGACTTGCTGCAGCCAGACAGAGACCAGAGAGGAGTGTGTGAGTCCAGCACGATACGATACGTTGCCTGCTTGACGTGGCCCGGACAACCTCCATCAGCTCCAAGGATAGCCCCGTTGAAGCTTTGACGGATAGAGCGAGCGAGCGAGCGAGAGCCAGCCATTGAGTCCACAGCATTTCTCAATGCGCGTGCTTGCGCTATTTGCAATGTCTGGCATGGCATGGCAGTAGGTAATGGCGGTCAGAGCCATGCCATTGAGGGCCAGGGGCAATGCAAAATGCTCGTCAGCTATCGCTTGCTTGCCATAACAAGCAGACCTTGATTGATGGATTCATCATCGATCAACAGAGCCAGAACCTTAGCTGTTGCAAAGCTCCCCCTCCCCCTACCCCGCCCCACTGTGGCCATAGGCCCATAGCCACCACGGTGACCTCATGGCCTAGCGGGCTCTCAGCAACAGCAACCGCCAAAACAACGAGAAGAAGCTCTCAGGATCACTTCACGTGATCTCCTCTCGATCAATCACTCCACTCTTTCACACTTTCTACACGCTTCGATTGGCTTCAAAGGCCCACGCTAACGCTTTGCCCCTCCAGCTTCCTCAAAATGAGACCCTCCCTCTTCAAGCCCCTCCTACCCCGCCATAACTGCTTCTCTGCAGCGAGAACTTCTTCTTCTCTTCCTCAACTCTCCAACACAATCAAATCCGTTAGATTCTTCTCAGCTTCATCCGCAGTCATGGGTAACAAGGTGTAAGTCATCTCTTTCTTTGTCAATCATCGCATTGATGTAGACGTCAGCTGACTCTGATCAGTTTCTTCGATATTGAGTGGGAGGGCCCCGTCTTCCAGAACGGCAAGCCTACCTCTACCGTTCAGAGTAAGTGTTGATTCCTCCCCGATGCCATCATCCTCAACGATTCGAGACGGCAAGCTGCATCTCCAGCTACCCTATCCTTCGGCTCGATACCTCGAGAGATGCACGATGGTCTGATGTTTGCGGCATTTGGATCTGCATCCACAGCATTCGTCATCATCTCGCATCATCGGTTCACAGCTTGAGCTCCGCGTGTTGTTGCATCAATGTTAACGTTCCTTCTCTCCAGGCCAGCGTGGTCGCATCAACTTCAACCTCTACGACAAGGAGGTCCCCAAGACCGCTGAGAACTTCCGTGCTCTCTGCACTGGCGAGAAGGGCTTCGGCTACAAGGGCTCTTCTTTCCACCGAATCATCCCCGACTTCATGCTCCAGGGTGGTGACTTCACCCGTGGTAATGTACGTTCTGTCAACCTAAACCTCTCTCTCATGTGCATACTAACACGATCAAGGGCACTGGTGGAAAATCCATCTATGGTGAGAAGTTCGCCGATGAGAACTTCAAGCTCACCCACGACCGCCCCGGTCTGCTGTCCATGGCCAACGCTGGTCCCAACACGTAAGCACTTGCACAACTGACTACAAATTCAATTAGACTAACAATGTTTCCAGCAACGGTTCTCAGTTCTTCATCACCACCGTTGTCACTTCTTGGCTCAACGGTCGCCACGTCGTTTTCGGCGAGGTCGCTGACGAGGAGTCCATGAACGTTGTCAAGGCTCTTGAGGCTACCGGCTCCGGCAGTGGTGCTGTCAAGTACCAGAAGCGTGCCACCATTGTCGACTCTGGTGAGCTGTAAAAAGCTCCTAAGGACAAGACAAACGGATGGGATTTGGGAGCACATTACAAAACTGAATGAGGACTAGCGATAAGAAGCTGGATTTTCGCAAGCTGGCATAAAAGACTAGCTTAGCTGATAAGCAATGTCAACCATTAACCCCATACGCATTGTCACTTGATACTATCGTGCTGTAAATGATTGATTCTTGAAATACCGCTTGACAGCTTATTCCTCTGCTTGGTAAAATTGATTGTTCATCGCTGCGACTAATGCGCTTGGCTGCATTCTAAATGGCCTTCGCTTGTCCTTCTACGCCTTTGCTGTTATCCCTAGAAACAAAAAGCCTTCTTCCAGACCATAACTCCATTCTCCGTCAGAAAAATGCAGGTATCAATAACCCATACTTATCGTATCGACATGCAAAATCTGCACTCGTGCTCTATTCAACGCCCAACCACCTTTTGAAATATTCACAGTTATTGGGGCCTACAGGACCGCCCTCTTCGCAGATCTCAAACACGGGACAGCGTCCGCAGGGAGCTTCGGTGAAAGCGCTGATGATAGGTTCTGGACCGCCTTCACGACCTGTAGGGTCCTCTCGACCAGCCCAGCTTTCTAAAGACTGTTTGGCGATGCGAGACACGCGGTAGCCAACCTTTCCAGCGACTTTGACCGACTCGATGAGGTTGTCCCAGACAAGTACGTCGACAAGCTTCTGTACGTCGTGCTCGGACAGGATCGTGTTATGGGTGATACCGCTTGAGGAGAGGAGACGAGCAATGTCGCGTACGGTCGGATAGCCTGTGTATCCAGCAGGAAGAGGAAGAAGGGCGTCCTTTTTAACGGCCGCTGTGGGAGAAATCTTGGTGGCTTTCGCTGGGGGCTCATCTATGTGACTAGCATCTCGCTTCTTGCCCCTTTCCACGCCACCTTTCACGACACCTTTCTTGGGAACTTGCGTCCGCGCAGCACCTCCCCCGTGGGTGCTGTGATAACTGCTCTGGCGCTTAATAAAATCATATACAACTCGCTGTAGGTCTTCAATAAAGGCCTCATCAAAGTTCTGATCGGTATACCACGGGCCGCCGGTAGCTCTGTCGCTGGGTCGTATGGAGGCCTTGATGAACATCTTTTTGTTTGGGTGCTCGACATTCTTGAAGGGCGCAATCAGGCCCTTTGTCTGGAGTTGCTTGAGTGCGTTCTTGAGGACCGAGTCGTGCATGTTCAGTCGCTTCTGCAGCGTCTGCGACCAGATACCGTCGCCGCCCGAGTCGTCGATGAGAGAGTAAACCATGACCTGTTCATCGGTCGAGCACTGCTTGTACCTAGCCAATTGTCAGCCACGAGCTTGATGTAGTGTCCCAGAGGTGTGTCTACGCACTTGTGGGCTTCTTCAGAGTCGCGCCATTTCCATAGCACTTGACCCGAGGCCTCGCGCATGGTGATGAAAAGCTTGTCATCTGTGAGGGATTGCACGACACGGGCGAGCAGCATGAGGTCTCGGTTTGGAATGACATCGAGGCGCAAAAGATCATCCTGGGAGAACATGTCCGTTCCAGACTCGCGACATCGATCGTAGAGGGCCTGCTTCCAGACGCCGAGCTTGGCCGTCGCGGCGTCGCCCTCGGCGGGCGCGGGGGTGGGCATTGTGAGTCAAGCGAGGATGCGACAAAGAGGGATAGAGTTGTCGTAGGAGGGAGGATTTGGTAAGAAGAGTCAAAGATCTGATTATATTTGATGCTACATTGACATAAGATAGCGAGTGGCGGGTAAGAGAATGGAAGAGAGAAGACAGATGACGATGGACTTCTCTTGGAGTAGAAGCGGCTGGGTTAGGTTGGAAATAATTATTTTTCGAGTCCCCCGCAGTCGACGCTAAAGTGTAGCTCGTCCCCTACCCTGCTACCTTATTACTGAACAATAGGTTAAGGTAGGTTCCACCTCACCTTCCCGGCCTGTGAGTCGACCCGGCGGATTGTCGGCAGTGCCTACGGAATGTGGGGTATCTTATCATTGTCTCGGTCCCCCACCATCTGCGTGTGAATGACTTCAGCCACCCTAGACCCTTATCATCATGAGACTTTGAATATCTTTGGAGTTATGAGTTGACCTTTGTGCGACGGTTTTAGTAGTCAAAGATCTCTCACTTAAGTCTATATGAATCATATGGAATGCTATCTATACCTGTGTTATGTCGTCTAGAGTCCGGGACTTCAAAGTATGATTCAAGGCAGAACCCACTATACATTACGTGTATTTACAATTTGTTTCCTACCGGATGAACCATGACACAGACAAACATCACCGAGATACTTTTACCAGTCGCTTTATGATTATATCTATCTTTACAAACATATTCTGCTTCTATCTTATAATGGCCTATTCTCTGGTCTAACTAATGATACTGACCTGATAGAGACCTGTCTGACTACCTAGCAAACCAACACAATACCAAGGAATAGATACTACACCAACAAGTTCGACATTGACTGTATTTTAACTCTCGAGAAAACTCGCCACGGCCGCGAAACTGCCGCTGGATGCGAAGGTTCAGGCTTACATGATCTCAAAAATAAGCTCTAGGATCGTGAAAGGGCGTACCAACCCATCAAAAGAACCTCCATAGAAAGTTTAGCACTCCAACTATATACCAAGGGCTGTTCTCCTTTCTCTTTCACTCTCAATATATCTCATCTCTTTCCTCAAAAACATTAAGTCGCTGACACTTTCCAATCATAGTATCACTGTCGAACCTCACAAAACGCAACATCAAGCCAACCCAAGTTTAATATTACATGGACGAATCCTTTAAGCATAACCTACGAGGTATCCTCAAAATGCTTTCAGCCGCCGAAAGAGAAGAAATCGATCAAGAGGTCACAGCCTTCATGGCCGAGTTTGGCCACATGTTTGGAGGCCACCTCAACGAAGGTAGCTCGAATGATGACACTTCAAACAATGGGAGTACAACCGCCGACACCTCAGCAAACGAAACAAGTACACAAGGCACAAGAGAAGACATACAGGAGGACACTTCTTCTGCAAAGTCATCAGTCAGACCCGACAGATTCGCGCACTTGAGCGCGGAGCTCGCCTCACACGCCAGAGCAATCGAACGCTACAACTTCCTCAAGCGACACTGTCCCTGGGGCCAGGAGGAAGCATTCCTGAACATGATGTGTTCGCTGCACAATCACCCACAAACTATGGGTCTTCCACCGAGCTCAACTGAGCCTCTGGCCGATGAGTCACCCGAGAAAGATGAAGGGAGTAGTCCGCGTGAGAGTCAGACCGATGTCCATACTGAGACCAAGTAGACTTTAGGACATATCCGTGGAGGGATGCTTGCAGGAGGAGAGAAATGAGGAGGAATAATGAGAGCAGTACTCGAGTTACGGGAGGATCTGAGTTGTGTGTGCTCAGTCCAAGGTTACTTGGTTGGACTATGGATAAGACGTCACTCCCCAACAAAAAGATATTATCATTGCTAAAGACTCATGCTTCAATAAATTGATATTCACCCATGTCACTCATGCTCAAGACATCGTGATTTGTAGTGTTTAAAGAAATTCTTTCGCTTAAGTGACTAGCTACTCCGCACAAACATCAAACATCATAATAAAGACAGCATCTCAATTATGTGTAATCGAGCCTTGAAATTCCTCCCTCATGTACAATTCGATGCTGTCCCTTCGTATCGTCTTTATCCCTGCGCCCGGAACGCCTGACTGCAGACCACATGTTTCCTTTGCACGCAAAGCTTTCGTCTCTTTACTTATTGAGTGTTGTAGGACGGTTGCTTCCATGCAAAGATGCACGTGGCATGAGCTTTTGCTTGTAACGTGAAATCATCTCCTAAGAAATCAAGAGGGCTTTGCCCATAAGCCCCTAGTTTACAGGGCTCTTGCTCTTCTCGACAGGTGGCTCTGGCTTATCCTTCTCCGTATCGACGTCCATAGCATCGTCGGGTTGTTCGCTCTGAGCTTTCTCAGGTGCTACTGCAGGCTTATCTGAGGTCTCTTCGGTACTTTTGGTTTCTGTGGTGGGCTCCTTCGTAGTGGAATCGGCGGCCTCTTGGGCAACAGGCTCGTCCTTTGAAGCCTTCTCGGTAGGCGCTGAAGACTCCGCGGGTGCCTCAGGCTCGACCTCTTCCTTCTTGATTGTTGTCTCCTCTGGAACCGCTGAGTCCTCCATGCCAACATCGCCGTCTCCATCCACTTTACTAGCTTCAGGTTCCTTGGCGGTCTCGTCAGGCTTCTCGCTCTCTTTGGGTGGAACCTCCTTCTCGGCTGGGGCTGGGGCTGAGATGTCGTCGATAGTATCGTCATTCACATCGTGAGCATCCTCGCCAGCTTGTTCCTCAGCAGGTCCGTCAGCGGAAGCACCGTTGGTTACCTTAGTAGGGGGAGCATCGGCATTATCGATTTCCATTTCTCCCTTGCGATAGTCGGTAAATGTGCGCTTGTTGCCATTCTGGCGCGTGGCTCCATGCGCCTGAGCCATCTCATCGTCGTCGCTGGCTTCGAACTCGTTGTCGTGTTCAACATGCTTGTCCCAACGATGCTCGGTCATGCGAACATCCTTGTTCTCATCCTCATCAAGGTCATCCAACTCGGCCTCCTCCTCATCAGTCATACCGCCGAAGGGCTTTCGGGGTACGTCTTGCAACTGTACTGAAGGAGCAGGTCCAGTTTGTCGAAGGTTGTCGATGACTGAAGATGTGATCTTCTCGAGGTACTCTCGGCTGTTAGAGTTCTCCATGTTGGAGGATCGCACATTCAGCTCAAAATCGGGAGCATAGTACTGTACCATGTTAGTGGGGGTTTGTTCAACACAGGATCAGATAACTTACTTCGTAGTATTCATTGTAGGGCAGGGTTCGGTCCATCTCCTTGCCCACAAGAACGCCAGTCTCAAAAGCCCAAGTTCGAGCGACGTTGCGCATTGTGTAGCCACCTCCACCAAGAACAAGAGTCGGGAGATTAAAGCTCTTGACATAGTTGACACAGTTGGCGTGGCCGTCCATACTCAGATTGAAGCAACCAAGTCGATCACCAGACAGACTGTCACCACCGCATTGGAGAACAACAGCCTCGGGCTGGTAGTACTTCATGACATTCTCAATGACAGGCTGGAAGATGGACCGGTAGGACACATCGGTGATACCATCTCGAAGAGGAAAGTTGACAGCATAGTTTTTTCCTTGTCCAATGCCAGTGTCTCGAAGTTCACCAGTGCCGGGGAAGTACTCTCCGTACTTGTGGAAGGAAACCGTCATGACACGGTCGGTGGTGTAGAAAGCCTCCTCAACACCATCGCCATGATGCACGTCAATATCGATGTAAAGGACCCGCTTTTTGAATCGAAGGAGTTCGAGAATACCGAGGACAATGTCTAGATATCGTGTTAGATCGCGATACCTGAGATATTTGGGAGAGACATACCGTTGACGTAGCAGAAACCACTGGCCTCGCACTTCTTGGCGTGGTGAAGACCACCAGCCCAGTTGATGGCGATATCGCACTTTTGGCGGTTCAGTCGCGCAGCACCCTCCATGCTACCACCTGCACTGATACCACAGAACTCAAATAGGCCATCGAAAACGGGACAATCATCACCGACGTTGTATTTTCCTTGCTCTCTCATGAAGCTGTCCATGTTGTCTGGTGTGACCTTTTGTAGGAAATCGATGTAGTCGTCGGTATGGAATTGGGTCATCTCGCCTCGAGTCGCAGGTTTTGCGCGCTGCAAATTGTCAGTCAGCATGATATTGCAAACTCAGTGACATCTAGGGTTGAGTGAGGGATCAAGAATGGACTCACGTATATCTCCATCTTCTGGTAGAGGTTGTACTGCATAATCAAGCTATGCGCCAGTCGAATGCGATGAGGCTTCATGGGATGACCAGTAACATAGGCATAGTTACCAATGTCGGAATCGTAAAAGTAAGCCACCTTCTTGGGGGATGAGCCATTGAGCGCAACCGAGCCGAGCTCGACACGTATATCGTCGCCCATGACTGTGGCTACTCGTGGAGTCGCGAATCTCGGGAAGCGGGTGTAAAAGAAAGGTTAAGATCAAATTTGCGCTCGAAATAAAAAGATCTTGTATATGTATTTCGATAGGGAATTGCTCAGGGAGAGCTCAGCATGACCGAAGGAAGAGTTTAGGGAAGAGTTTGGTAGAATGTGACAAGCTTTCGAGAAGACTCTTTGAGTGTAAGTATGTAAAGTTACATGGGCAGAACCACTTCCCACTGGCTGATGCGAAGCAGATCCCCGGAGCTTGAAAGTCTCCCGTTTACACCGGAATAAATCTTAAAGCGCCTCCGTTTAGTTTGACACAAGCCACATTCTGAGTCCCTCGCATGAGATACGCCACAGAGAGCGGATCGAGCTCATGCACGTGACGTGACTAAGCTCCTCAGCTGTGGCTCCCAGGCTGCCGGGCTGGCGTCAACGTCAATTACATTTACCAAGCTCCGATCATAGCAACGCCAACCCTCCATCACCGCCCACATCAACACCAACACCTGCACGCTATTTTTGTCGACGATCTACTCTATCCGTACATTAAGCATCCACTATTCAGCACCGTCGATATCATGGAACGCTTCAGGAGTTTACTTGGTGGCGGTGGAATGGGCCTCGGAGGAGCTGCACATGGCACTGTAAGCTATCACCTCCTTCATATGAGCTCCCTAATGGAGTGTGCTTTGCAGTTCTGAGCCTAGCTAACCTTGACGACTGTAGGACAACACAAACCTGATTGATAACTCCGAGACGGTCTATATCTCCTCCCTTGCCCTACTCAAAATGCTCCGACACGGTCGCGCAGGTGTGCCCATGGAAGTCATGGGTCTGATGCTTGGCGAGTTTGTGGATGACTTCACTGTAAAGGTTATGGACGTGTTTGCCATGCCTCAGAGCGGTACCGGTGTTAGTGTCGAGGCTGTCGACCCCGTTTTCCAGACCAAGATGATGGACATGCTTAGGCAAACAGGAAGGTTGGTTGATTAGAGTCTCTCATTTGTTGTCACTATCTAACGGATTGAACAGACCCGAGTCGGTCGTCGGATGGTACCACTCGCATCCTGGTTTCGGTTGCTGGCTTTCTTCCGTTGATATCAACACACAGCAGTCATTCGAGCAACTGAACCCCCGCGCCGTTGCCGTTGTCATTGATCCTATCCAGTCCGTGAAGGGCAAAGTCGTCATTGACGCTTTCCGACTCATCAACCCCCAGCTGTTGATGCTTGGGCAAGAGCCTCGACAGAGCACTAGCAACTTGGGTCACCTCAACAAGCCCTCGATCCAGGCTCTCATCCACGGCCTGAACCGACACTACTACTCGATCGGAATCAACTACCGCAAGACCGCGCTCGAAGAGAACATGCTCATGAACCTGCACAAGCACGTTTGGACTGAAGCTCTGGAGATGGACGATTTCCGACATGAGGGTTGCAAGAACAAGGACAGACTGCAACAGCTGGTCTCATTGGCGGATGGCTACGAGAAGCGCGTAAAGGAGGAAACTGAGCTGACTAAGGATCAGCTCAAGACTCGATACGTTGGCAAGTTGGATCCCAAGAAGCATCTCGAGGATGTTGGTCAGGAGCTCATTGAGGACAACATTGTCTCCGTGTCGAGACAAATGATCGACAAGGAGGCCACCATGCCCAGGAAGGAGGGCCAAGCAGGGTCCAAGGGGCAAGTGAACGGTGAACAAATGGACGTGGAAGAGGAGTTATAAGCGAGAGGAAACGAATACCTTTAACAAGAAATAACGAGGCCACGGGATGGACTTGTAAGATTAATGGGCGTTGGCGGTCGGGACGGAAGATTTAGAGACCTAGCCATGTCACGAATTATTGCACAAGGTTAGCATGATAGCATGCATGAATTAATTCCGCGTGTACCTTTTTGTTCAGTGAGTTGATGTGCGGGTTGGTCGTAGATGGTGTTCATAGGTTGTAAGTGTTGTGAGTGCTAGTTATCATGCTTGTTGAAGATTGCTGCACGCTGAACAAAGCTACTCATTTGTAGAACAAAGGTCTCGACGTCTCTATAAAGGCAAAAGTTGCGTATAAATAATTTTCTTCTTCTTTTTAATTCACTTTTCGAAAGCTGCGCTCATATTGACAAACTGCATATTTCGACTTTCAGCTGTTGCTTGTTTAATCCAGAGCTACACTTGAAACAAAGACAACAACAGGCACCAGAAGCAGCTCACCACGACCGAATATATTCAAAGCAGCTCAGTCGTTTCTTACAAGAGCGCATACTCAGAGTGATATCTATAAAGGCAGGTAAGTTTTTACCCTTCTCTTGCGCTTGAGAGAGCTGTAGATTTGTTCAAGCGACCATGAGTTCTCGAACAAGTCTGCGCTCAATCCTGCGCGGATGGTTTGCGTCGGATAAGTATTCTGACTCTGACTCAGAACCCGATGTCCGCATAGAATCAGTTAGAGGAGAATGTCCTCTACCAGACCGAAAGCGACAGCGACACAAAAGGGAGAAGAATAATCCATTTGGGTTGCCCAAGAAGCGAACTTATTGCAGCCATTGCCACGGTACTAATGGTTACGGAGACAATGATTTTTCTAAGCGTGAGCGCAAGGCAAAAAGGAAGAGAAGTCACAAGGATCAATACGCGTCAGGCGGGCAGAAGCACCACCAGCACCAGCACCAGCATCGTCTTAGTGAGCGACTGAAGCCTCTGCCTGTGGTTCCACGTCAACGTCCCCCACAGGCAAGAGGCCAACGGACTCCATCAGAGGATACATCCCTGCAAAGGGAGGGCCACAATCAAAAACAGAAACATAAACGCAGCAGCAGCAGCAGCAATGTTGTTGATACCCGATTAAACGCGCCAAAGCAGCTGAAGAAGCATGGTACACATACTCTCTACCAACAGGAACAGGAACTGGACCAGGGGAGCAACGAAGCCATCTTCTTCTCCGACGACCGCTCAATGAACCGCGAGGCCGTGTCAGAGGTAGTCGACATGATAGCCCAGCGCTTCAGCCACATCCCCTACGCCGTTAGCGGTCTCGCGGCCATGGTCTACTACGGCTACGAGGCGAGGCCGTACAGAGTGAGCATCGTGTGTCCCGAGCACACGCGCGAGAACCAAAAGTGCTGGGCCAAGGCGCAGGGCATGATCCCGATCCCGCGCCAGCGACACGTCTGGGGCGTCGCGACCTCTGACGGCATCGTCCAGCAGATCCGCGTGAGGTTTCCCTACGATTTCAACGAGATGCATGCCCTAAAAATAGGCACCGCCGGCAGCAACCCCGTCTCCATGTTGTCGCTAGCGGGGCTGGCTGATGAGCTTGCGAGGACCTATGTTAATGAGCTCAAGCACTCGGACCACGACAGGCAGGAGAATCTGGCCCACGAGATGATCTGGATCCTCAAGAGAATCATCCAGTGCAGATTGCCTGAGCATGCCCTGCGCCCTGAGAGGATACCGCACCTTATCAGGGAGACGTTCTGGCTGCCCTTTACACTCTCATATCCAGAATCGGTGCCTCTATTTGCAAAGGCGGGCTGGAGCATTCCCAACGAGGGATGGTATTGAGATGAGATGCGATGAATGAGATTGGGCGACATGGGAATGAATGATTTGGAGTTTGGGGAATTACGGCGGCACAGTACGACACGACACAGCATGGATATGGATATGGACACGGATCATGGTTACGCCTATGGGGGTTAAAGTTTGGTTACAGCTACGCATCGCATGATACCCTAGATGGATGTTTTTTTTTTAATTTCCTTCGCGCTTCTAATGATAAGACGACAAAGAATGTAGACCGAGAGATTATTGATTTTTCATCGCAAGTTTAGAGATTAGGCAATTTATTCACATCGCAAGAGAGTAATAGTTTCGCAAAAGTGTCTTTATTCGTGTGAGCAATCCAGTATCTTTACGTAGCCAAACTCAGCATCTCTAGCCGGTGGTTTCCAAAGCACTCTCTGCTCATTAATCCGAAAACGATCTGTTTTACTCCCAAACTCCAATCTCAAGCAATGATACCAAGTCATCGAGACTAGTTGCGAGACTTCCACGCCTTGACGACGTGGCCGACGGTGAACTCTCCGTAGTTCTTGATGTAGCTCAAGTGAACGGAGAGATCCTTGCCGCCGGCCTCACAGTACGGGTCGCCCTTGTCGCAGATGGACACAGTCTTGCCTGCGATGCTGTCACAGCCGATGGGGAGGTTGCGAGGGAAGATCTAATATATGTCAGCTGTGTTCATAAGATGTTTATCAGCCAAGACTTACACCACTACCCTCGCTGGTTCCGACATGGAACGGCTGCCCTTCAGTCAGACTGGGGTCGCCCATGACAATGATGGCCACAACTGTCAAAGGTTAGCAACCTCTCAAGTATGTACTGAGTGAGTGTATCTTACCATTGCCGGTGATGTATGCAGGCTGGGAGAGAGTACCAGGGAAGCCGTCTGAGCTGGCGCCGCACATGGTGTCCATAGTGACATGGGCTCCCTGAATATCATTAGCATGGTAGTTACTGAGGTGAGGATGAGTACTTACCTGCGAGTAACCCATCAGGATCAAGTCAGTGTCCGGACAGTTCTTCACGTAGTTGTTGATCACGGAGTTCATAGTGCGGACGCCCTCGGTCTGAGACTCAACGTACTCATTGTAGAGGGCGGGATATACGAGAGCCTCCATGTCCGAACCGGGGATCAACTTGATGATCTCCTCCGCGAGGATACCCATTGCACCAGGACCCTCTGGCTCTAGGCTGCCACGAGCAACGATGAGGTGGGCGCCCTTGGCGCAAGTGATGGCATCAGTGGTTGAGTTGGCCGAGACCAGAGCCATCAAGAAGCTCACAACGAGCATGAAGGAAATCATGATGCAGATTTGTTAGGAAAAACTATTTGCAGAAGGTGAGAATATGTCTCCCGAAGAGATAGTAAAGATATAATCTCTTACTGCGATGTGTTGATGTAGCAATGTATGGTTCGAGGTGAAGAGTTGGGATGAAAGTGAAGAGAAGTGGAAAAGAAGAAGAGCAGATGAAAGAGCAGACGAAAGAGTAGAAGAGAATATATAGCCTCACCTTGGCGACTACCAGTGCCAGTGCCAATTCACAGTGGCAGCTGCAACATCAGAACGCGGTCACTGCCAGTGGCAGACAATGATAGCTCACTCACGATCTAATATCCATCTTCAAGATAGTTGAACAGCGGCGTAGCAGTGGCAGACCCACAACATCACTCTAGAAGCTCTAGTGAACGTTGGAAAAAGCAAAACCGTGGACCTCGACTGTCAAATCGCATCTTTGCAACTTTTGCGGTTCGGCTGCAGGGACTGGGGTAGATCGATGGTATCGGACTTGTTTCTTGATTCGGTCACTATAGTCTGCGTAACTCGACAACAGACGAACACGTATATGGGAAATACTAATTTATAGAGCATGGATGAGCTGTGTAAGAAAAGAAATTATATATGAAATGCCCAACGACCGCACTAGAACAGCTGACTCTGCCTTTATAGAATTATATTGCCTGTTTGTGTAAGTGGAGAGAATCACCACTAGTTTGTATCAGCGTGCTGGGGGTAGGATTGTATCTCCATGCTTTGCTAGAACTACCATACGATTAATGCCAAGATTGTGTGCTTGTCGAAGACTAGGTAGTTGGCTTGATTGGTTTACTAGCCGCCGTGGTCCATGGGAACTCACCCCTATTCTCAAGAGCACTCTTATACATAACAAGCGACTTGACGATAATTTAGTTTCAGACTCTTCCTAGCGACGACAGAGTCTTATATGTGCCTACACATCTTCCAAACTCTGAACCAAAACATTCCATTAACTCATTTGACAAACTTGGGCTAAGTAAGGATGCTAAGTTCTATGGAACATGCCCACAACATAGTCGGCAGCAACATGCCCATACGCAGTCACGTAGTTCATATGAGTTCTCAAATCGTGGCCACCAGCCTCGCAGAAAGGGTCCCCGGCATCGCAGAACGAGACTGTCTTGTCTGAAACACAGTTGCATCCTTCGGGTTTCTGACGGGGAAATATCTAACAATTGTAGTCAGCCACCACTAGTGTTCTGTATGTTTAGGAGGACTTACACCATTGCCAGCACTACTTCCAACATGGAAGGGCTGGCCTTTGGTAGTGCTCGGATCACCCATGAGAACAACAGCTGCAACTTGAAGAGGGTTAGAATGTATGAGTGATGGAGATTTATGGCTCTTTTGACTGACTGTTGGTGGTGATGGCGGCAGGTGAAGGCTTGGTAGGGAGAAATCCAATGGAACTCGCGCCACACATCACGTCTGCAATGACATGGGCGCCCTGCTTAAGAGAGTCAGCAAAGGATAAGTGCAAGCCTCATAATGGGGCTGAGGTGATATATATATGGACTGACCTGCGAGAAACCGAGTAGAATAATCTTCGTCTTAGGACAGACGGTCACATACTGTGCCAGCACAACAGAAAGAGCCGCCACACCCTCCATTTGCGAAGGTTGATAGGGATTATAGATAGCTGGATATTCTAGAGGTACAATATCGGAGTGAGGGATTCTTTGCAAGACCTGCTGAGCGACTGCTCCGATGATGCCTGGCCCCCGAGGTTCCAGACTGCCTCTGGCCACAATGATGTGGGCTCCGGAGACACAGCTGGCGTTTCCAGGCTGACCATATTCTTGACAAGCAACCAAGGTTGCAAACAGAATGAGGTATCTAAGTATGAAGAGCATCGTGAGAGACTTCCGGAGACTGACAACATCAGTGACGATTCAGAGGTCTGCAGGCAAACATAGGACTGGGAAACTCACAGCAATCCCAACCATACAAGACGACACAATAATAAGATTTGGTAATTTTGAAGCGATAGAGCTTGATGAGAACGAATGAAGCACAAGTTGCAGTCCAATTACCAGGGATTTTGGCCCACGGAACTGGCGGAAACAGGAAAGGAGGAAGAGGATAAAAAACAAGACAAAGACAAAGAAAGAAGAAAAGAAAAACGAATGGATAGACTCAAAATATGAACTGAGCCCACGTTCCGTTTGGTTGTGCATTGCAAACATATACATATATATCAATGTTTGACTACCAGTGAGTTAACTTACCTCATCAAGCCTGTCTCACAGCCAAGCGATCTAAGTCAAGAATGGCGTCAATACCAAACGCCTTCCGAGCAGGCTTCACGGGAATAAAACGAAAAGGCTTGAATTGATCTACCGTAGAAGCTTCTAGTATTGGACATGTATGTAAGTGCCCGAACAGGCATGTCTCAATATTTGGCGTTTCAACCCAAGAAAAAAGCAACCATGTCAACCCGTGGCACTAAAAAGACAAGGACGCGGAAGATCAAACTCAACTCCTTACTCTCACAAACCAAACACTTCAATCAGTCAGACAAACGCAAATACCTTACACAATGCCATCGTCTACGGTGGAGGATCTTCTTTCAGCACCTGAGCAACAAATCCGTGCTGTTCTTGGTGTCTTGTGCCAGGATGAAGATACCCGTTCCCGTGCTCTGGACCACTACCACAGTCTGCAAGCCACGCCCGAAGTCTCCGATGGGCGCAAACGCAAGGCGGAAGATGAGATGAGTGTCTGTGTTCGGTGCAAGAAGGCGTTTGACAAACACGAAAACACGGATGAAAGAGCATGTCGTTACCACCCTGGTAAGTAACCTGTGCTGTCGCTCTGGTGAGATAGGTAGGTGGCTCACATTAGTTGCTTCATAGGATTCATGAATGCTGACGACCAGGCTGAGGCATGGGCTGACTATGACGGTTTACTTGAGGACGTAGAGACAGAAGAGTATTGGGAAGAACATCCCGAGGCTTTTATTTGGGATTGTTGTGATAACAGAGGCACTGAGGAGGGGTGTACCTATGGCAAGCATGAGGTTGACGTGAAGAAGTCTAAGAAGGGCGATGGCAACAGTCTTGGTGTTGAGTAGAAGGATGTCGGTCAGATAGTAAATACCACAATAACTCGCAGATTACAATTCCTCAAAACACTCTTTTAGTTCACTCATTATTGTGATGGTCGACTTGGAAGAATCTGGAAAGTTGAGCATATCTCTACCCCTGCATATCACCCCGACACTAATAAAACAAGCTCCCAACTACCCCAACTTCAAGACGTCACTTCACTTACACCAATACTCACTCACTCACTCACTCACTCACTCAATCAATTCATCTCACTTCACCTCATACTAAAAGCATCTCAATCACCAAAATGTCCCTCACACTAGAACAAGAAATGGTCCATCTCGCACCGGAGCAACACGTCCGCGCAATCCTCCTCGCCCTCCTCGACGACCGCTCCGTCAAAGCCCGCGCCCTCAACCACTACCGTGCCCTCAAAGCCGCCGACAACCCAGTGACCGGTCTCAAGCGCAAAGCTATGAACGACCTGTTTGTCTGTGTTCAGTGTGACCAGGCGTTTACACACCAAGATAACACTGAGACGTCGTGTCGTTACCATCCAGGTACGTTAACCAGCCCCGACTTTTCTGTGTGCGTGTTTGTTGCGATGAGGCTGATGACGTTAGGCGAACTTATTGTTGATGACACAGAGGATTTCTGGGCGGATCATGATGAGGATTGCCATGGGGAGATTGACACGCCTGAGATGAGAGAGGAGATGCCTGATGGGTTCCGCTGGATGTGCTGTGATAAATTGGGTGGACGAAAAGGCTGTACCAAGGGAAAGCATCAAGCTGATCCGGCGAAGTCACGGAGAGGTGGAAATGTCCCGTCTGGTGGTGACATGAGGAAGAACAATGGCGAACATTTACCTGTTTCAGACGGCGATAGTGAAGATGAGGAAGATGGCGACGAGGAATATTGATTCAGTCCAACTGTATAATTCGACAATAAACATACATCTCTTATCCAAGCAAGCATATATATCTTCAGTCTTAGAACTGTATCATTCAATACGTAAACGAGACCCCCAAACTCCCAACCTATGGATGATTGATATTATACAACGCCATGTTGCCACAATCTCTCCTCACGACATCAACAAAGATACACACAGAGAGAGATTATAAATACCAAGACACAAGAGCCCTGCTGAATCATACATAGCCCCTGGCCTTTGACAAATATTACATGACATAAAACGTTGCAAATAGTCTTGAGTCCTAAAATGACCCGGGCTGTATCGTTAGCCGTGCCAATCACCCGGTACTCCTTGCGCCTGAATGCACTTCAAATGATCTGTTTCCTCCTCTGCCATGCCGAATAAATGTACCCCCCGTGACAATCTGGTGTCACTTATCATCCTCCGTCTTTCCAAAAACAAAAGTCAATGTGTAACAGTCACACCCCAGGCCCATGGTCTTTAAGTCATCTATGTTGTTCAAACATAAAAGGAAGCTCTGAAGAGTGCCGCCGCAGAGGTGTTGGCCTTGGCGACACTGTGCCATCGAGGCTAAAACGCTTGGGTGTTGTTGTTCCTGAACCATCGGCTGAGTCTACATCATTGGGCTCCTATACCCCCATGACAGGAACCTTCTTGTTTCGCTTGCCCAGAAGCGTAGCGTTGTCCAGGTTGAGCTCGAATGCTCCTCGCTGGCGATTGCGCTCACGGACTTGCTGTCGAGCAGCCGCGGCGACTGTTGCCGAATGTTGGCCGTAGCCTCTCTCGGTACGCTCCCGCTCACGACCCCGAGATTGTTGCTGCTGCTCTTGATCTCGGATGTTGGCCTTGCGCATACTTTGCTCGAGGGCCTGAGTCGCTGCGTTGGGCTTGGCAGCGGTGTTATCTTGACCATCAATCTGCATGACATCATCGTCTTCTTCTTCCTCGTTGAGGCCGCCGAGGAAGCGTGCTGGTGTGCCCTTGGGGCCGATCTGCGCTCTTCGCTTGCCCTCTTCCTCCTGGCGATGAACAGCATAACCGACATCGAAGACCTCACGCAGGTTGACAGCGCCAGGAGATCGGAAGTCGTATCGCTTGCCAGACTCTTCGAATTTCGTGGCATCAAAGGCCCGGAGCATACCATCAGACTTCTTCATCTCATCCCGAGGAGTAGGTCCGTTTCCAACGATCCATGGGTGAGCGAGGAACTCGGTAATCGTAAATCGCTTCTCAGGATCCACAGTCAAGAGATGGCTGATAAGATCCTGGGCAGACTTTGAGATCTCGTCCCACCATGGGGACAAGAAAGTGTACTGACCCTTGGCAACTTTCTCAGTGAGCACCTCGATACTCTCATCATAGAATGGTGGGAAACCGCAAAGCAGAGTGTATAGTACACAGCCTAGCGCCCACATATCAACTGACTTGGAGTATCGCTCGTCCTTTACGATCTCGGGTGCTGTGTAGCCAACAGTTCCACAAGGAGTCATGGTTTGGTCGTCCCAAACAATCTTGGAGAGACCGAAATCGGCGATCTTGATACGACCAATACCACCGGCACCTTGGCCGGGAATGAACTCGCCCTCGTCAACCTTGTCCTCATCGCCGGGCTGCTTAGGCTTCGGGTGCTTAGAGGGTACCATAGGAATGGGCTCGAACAGAATGTTCTCGGGCTTGATGTCACTGGTAGGGTTGTTAGTGATGCTTCCAAGGCCGTGCAGAGGCGAATGACGTCAGGAGGGGCATCACCACTTCTGACATCAAGCGGCCCAAAAAGAGTCATGACATACCGATGAACAACACCCTTCTCCTCGTGGAGATATTCAAGAGCCTTGGCCACCTGAACAATCACGTGTCGGGAAAGCTCCTCACTGAAATATGTCAAGCGAACGATCTGGTGGAAAAGTTCACCACCAGGGGCAAGCTCCAGAATGATGTAATAATACTGCCTCGATTCAGAGAATTCGACGAGCTTAATAATATTGGGGTGGTCGAGTTGGCGCATAATCTGGACCTCCTTCAAGATATTTGATCGCTGTGGAAGTGTTAGTATTCTGCCTCGCATGTCCTCGAGTCTAAAGGCTGGTTATCCCCGCCATCAAGACAGCAGGAACTGACTTCAGACGGGGACAGCGTCGGCCTGGACATAGGAAAGAAATAGTAACGTAAAGGAGAATCTTCTCGCACCTCTGCTGCCTTTGGGACTTTCTTGAAGTCTGGATGTAAATGCTTATTGCCCTATGAGAGGGGACAACCCCGTGTTGGTAAATGGGGACCAAAGAAAGAGAAAGCAGACGAATAAAAGCACAAGAAACATCAAAACTAAAGGAGATAGGGCGACAGATAGAGACAACCCCAATGTTTGCTTACCTGCATACTGTTCATCTCGTACTTGCGTACTACTTTGATAGCGACCTCGCCTTGCTGACCTGTCGTGTCGCGGGCACGGTAAACATTGCTGAAGGCACCATCACCCATCTTGTCGACGAGCTCCCAGCGCTCGAGGCCGGGGTAGCGAGGGAATTTGCTCTTGCTGGCATTTTCCTCGGCAATAAGCTTGGCGAGCTTCTCATCGTCGACGCGCTTCTTGCTCTTGCTGCGTGCGTAATCGTCATCGCCATATTCGTTTCCGGGCTCTTGTGCCCTTGCGTAGTGGGTGTTACTGGGATCTGATGCTGTCTTGTGCTGGACTGCGGGCGCCTGTTGCTGTTCAGTCTTGCGTGGAGACTCTTCAGGAGCAGCGGCACGAGCTTGCTTGCCTAAGCAACCATTGTCAGCAACTGGTAAAAACGGGCCAAACTTGGCAGAATAGAGGGCTGGAACATACCGTGCCGGATAAAGTTCTTGAGTTGCTGAATGGTAGACATGGCTGTAGAAAGTGTCGCTTAGGCGCGACAGTCGCCTTGGAGAAGAAAAGTCGTGAGGCCTTGGGCGAATTTTGGTGGCAAATTAAGTAATGGGCGATTGGACGTCTTTGAGAGCAGTAGTTGCTTCTAGTGTGCAGTGCAACTAAAAACGGGTTCGCCGGTTCAGCCTAGAGATATTCCGTCTTGGAGTCGTAGCGAGTCGTGATCGTAAACGTGAGCCTTGTTGGTGTGTCGCAAAGCGCGGGCAATATTATTGTAAAGGACGAAGTGGAATAGATTTCTTGACGGAAGCAGGAAAGCAGGGTTGGACTGCTCTGTGGACGATGCGGGGTTTAGCAGGTCTACTCTAGCGGACGGGAGCGTTTCTTGTTTGACGTTTGATGTGAGGGTGTCGTAGAAAGTCGAGTAGTCAGTGACAAGATGAGTAATGGTCAACGGTGTTATGAGTCGAAAAGTGAAGAAGAAGGAGAAAAGAGAAGTCGTCCCAAGGGAAGAAACCAGGAAAAGGAATTCGATTGGGATAAAAGTGACTTGCGCTGGTTGCTTGTTTTTGTTCGAGGCAATGCAATGCAAGGTCAGGTAAGGTTAGGTAGAGCCTGGTTTCTTTTTGACGGGGGGAAGACCGAGATTTGAGAGGTGAGCCTGGTGAGGTGACGAAAGGGAAAGGGTGGGCAGCCCACTTGGAGTGGCAGCCCAGATTTTAGCAGGATTCTAGGCCAACGCCAGGCGGATCGAGTGGGGATGAGGGGCGTTTCCCAGCGGGAAACCTTGGAAAACACAGGGGTTTGTAGGTCGAATCCAGCGAGGAAATTGCTAGGAGCCCAGTCGAGTGAGTACCTAGGTGAGGTAGTTGTGGTCTGGGGAGTGAGGTCACTGAGTGAACAAGAGAGGTCAATCTCGGAGACTATTGCCCTGAATGTGCTGAATGTATGATTACAGCTGAAACATAGGATTTGTAAGATGCTGTTGGTGAGTGAAGGTGAATGACGATGGCTGTCAAAGCTAAATAGACGACGAGGTAAATACAGTCCAGCCCAGTCAGTCAGTAGTGGTGATAGCGGGGTATCCAATGAAGAGACTCGCTGTGACGTTGACAAAGTTCAGCTCGTAAACAGAAGTCTCACTACGAATAAAAAGAAAAAGAAAATAATAAACAGTCAAGATGTTGAGTTAAGGATAGAGCCTCATGTTGACATAAAACGTGTCGACTAGACTCTGTTCGAAGTCGTGGGCGTGCGTGTAATTGTAGATGATAGACACACAATGAAGTCACCCAAAGCGTCAATCAGTACCAAAGTCCCCACGATATCGTCACAGCCGCCGGAGTACTAATGCATCCCGTCCGTCAGTGACTTAGTACGCAACAAAATACAAAGATACAAAACTGCCAGTCTCCTCTCCCCTTAACGGAATGACACAAATCACCGCAGGCAGTGAAGAGAGAAGGTGAGAGAAGGGGTCCTGGTGCACACCCACGCAGCGATGATGATGATGATGATGATGGCATCACCTCTCTCACCCATGCTCCGCGCTAGGGTGCCATGCTATGCCATGCATAGGTGTGCTTCGTCGCTTGTTAGTGGCATCATCGGTTTGCCTTATCATTTGCGCATATCTCGAGGCTGATACCTCATACCTACATCCGTCGTTACTTTTTTAGAAGAAATCCCATCATGACTACGGCAACGATTCGATAAACAATGTAGGTAATCCATGCACTGGAGATAATTTATTGCTCGTGCGGAAATGGTGCTCCTGGCGAGATCTCCGCCCTATGACGCTGGTGACGACATCACGCTCTCTGATAGTGGATATCTGAAGATGCCAGCACCCAATTAGAGGGCCTTGAGCCCTGCGATGTCTTGGCTTAGTGGCGGCTGTTCCAGTGGGTTGGCTGCTGAGAATGAAATCACAGCAACAAGCTTGGAGCGTCACTCACTCACTCACTGCAAGGTTCCCCAGGCCGGAACCATCCATCATCAAAGGACTTTAATCTCTTGCAAGAGATGAGTTAGTTTCTCGTGATGGTCTATCTGTCTGGCTGAATTCAAAACCGACTACCTATTTATGGAGTGTGATTGATAACTCGAGCCCCCATCTCCAGAGTCACTCGCTCCACAAACTGATATTCATGTCCATCGTACTGTAACACTATTTCACATCACTCCTTTTTCCTTTTCATATCCGTCGTATCACCCCAAAGGCAGATCCGTTCCTCAACGAGTCAGGGAAAGCCACCTGTATCACAGCACTTATTCTCCTTCAGCTGGATTGCTTCACTTTTGACAAGAATGGAAAATGTTGACCCGAGATGCTGATCATGACGATACTGCACCTGATACTGTACAACCACTCAGTTTCATCCACCGTCTATCTATTATTATCTCTTGTCTTCCATCTAGCATATGTAACTACCGGTACCTAGAGACAAATGCAGCCAGTCTCAAAACAGGCTTTTAAATTCGACCTGGGCTGGCTGCTGACAGTACAACACCACCCGGACGTTACTTGGCTTTATGCCATGTTACCTAGGCCCGGTCTGGATCTCTATTTCAGACCCTGGCTGCATATTACCAACATGCCAAGATTGCTCATATTCCCTCTTGATTGGATTTCCTCGGAACCCAACGTCTTGCCAGGGCTTATAGCTCACCTGTTAATGGGAACATATGCTCCGTATTGAAAAGCAAAAAAGCTCATCGCAAAATTGGATGGAACAACATGGACAATGCTGGTTATCCCTCATCCGTCCTTGGTTTCTATGTACAGTACAGACTGTACAGTACGGCTTAGCTTACCCGGGCTATGAGGCACTGAGAAGCTCTGTGCGAGGGTCTAGACCACGATAGCCAGGGTTCATGGTGTTGTCAGTAGGCACACCGATGGGACGCCCGAAACATCTCTTAGGCCATGTGCTCTACGGTCTATCCTTTCTCATAAGCGCCGTGACGCGGCAGTGAATTCTGATATTTCCGCTGCCTAAATGAAGCTCGTGAGGTCATTACGCGGCTAGCAGCATGACTGATATCATCCAGCTTAAACTTTCATGATGGAGGTGTCTCAGCTATACTGACCAGGGGTCTCGAAACTGCTACAGAAACCCTGTTTTGATGCTTGTTGGTTGGATGCCGTTCCTGGAACTTTGTCTCCAATGCTCCATCAGGATCTCGGCACTTGGAGACAAGCGATTTTGACTCCAGACCCCTGGTAGTTACCAATGGATGGTCACTGGTTCCTGAATCTTCTTTCTTTCACCAACATTGACTCATTGAGATATGATTCAGCTGGGTAGCAACCGTAGCATTGGAGTTCATCGCGCGAGAACCACTCATTATGCCCAGGTGCAAGAACCAAAACATCGTCATCACACATTATGAACAGACTCGACTGTCGAAACTCATTGGATAATTCATAACATAACATATCATGAAAAGCATGTCTTCCTACAACTTATAGCATCGATAAGGCACTGCACGACTTTCGGCATATTCTCTCAACTTCCGATTCTTCCAACCATAGAACATCCTCAGGCCCAGGGCCACAACTGCGACAAACAGCAGCAGAGCCGCATTGACCCAGTGCCCTGTTGTGAATCCTCCTTCTCGCTCTGACGTCTGGTAGATCCAAACACCAGGGATCTGTCCAATGCCCCCGAGACTAACGTTGAGGGCAATGGCGAGACCAGTAGAGGCCGTCGTAAACACATTGGAGCTGAGCCATCCCAGCATGGGCGGCATGCAGGCAAAAGAGCCGGCCGTTGCCATTATTAAACCACCGTAGCGGGCTGCATAGGCGTCGGCCGGGAGCGCAGCCGATATAGTGAAGCCAATGGCGCCCACGGCTGCAGCCATGGCCGTGTGAACGCCTCGGGCGTTGAAGTGGTCCGCCGACCAAGCCACCAGAACCTGGCAGACTGTTGTGCACGGTCAGTTTTGCTAACTTCTTAAAGCCAGGAAAGCAGGTTAAACTTACCATAAGCAATGGCCCACGGAGGTACCGTCATCAACTGTGCTTTCAAGTCGTAATATCCCAATCCAACGGTAATTGACGGTGCAAACAAGCTCAAACTCGCAAACGCCGGCCCAGACGCAAAATAAATCGCATAATGCGCATACAGTCGCCAGTCCATCAAGGTTTCCTTGGCCTCTGCCCAGGTCATCGTCGGATGCGATTCCTTAGAACCCTCATAATACAGTCGATGAATGGCCATGTCCTTCTCTGCTTCAGATAACCATTTAGCCCGCTCCGGATAATCGGGTAGGAAGAAGAGAACCAGGAAGGCGGCTAGGCAAGACGGGATGCCCTCGATGATGAAGAGCCAGCGCCAACCAGAGAGACCAGCTGTGCCGTTCATGTGGCCGATGCCATAGGCAATTGCGCCGCCAAATGCGCCGGCTAGAGTGGCAGACGCGAGGATGAATGCGACGCTGAAGGCTCGAAGTCAGCATCTCGACCGTTACGCCACGACAGTTGGTGAAGCATGGATACAGAAAGACTTACCGAACACTACGCTCATCGTGCTTGTACCAAAATGTCAAGTAGTATACCAACCCAGGAAACAAGCCAGCCTCGAAAACACCTAATAGGAATCGCACAGCAGTGACACTGCCGAAGCTATTGGTGGCAGCCGTCAATATCGTCATTGCACCCCAGCAAAACATGAGAAAAGCGAGCCAACGGCTGGGTCGCAATTTCTTAAGAAGCATGTTACTTGGAACTTCGAACACCGCATATGAGACGAGGAAGAGCATGAGGGAGATGACAAATTGGTGGTCCGTCATCTTGGTCTCACGCTGCATATCGTTGTCGGTCGACGAATTGAGGATCATGGCGTTTCCGATGTTCGTTCGGTCGAGGAAGGACAAGAAGTAGATGGCGCCTGATAGTGGGATGATGCGTAGGTCTTGTTTCAAGAGAAGATTCTTCTCGAGGTCGCTTATAGCTTCGACATAGTGAACGGGGGCGTCCTGGGAGACGTAATGTTAGTATTCGCGGCGTCG